GTTCAAATTGATTTAGGTTTAATTAAAATAAAATGGCAGCCCTAGTAATTTATCAAATTGATTGAGGTTTGATTAAAATAAAATGGCCACCCTAGAAATTTATCAAATTGATTCAAATTGATTGAGGTTTGATTAAAATAAGATGGCAGCCCTAGAAATTTATCAAATTGATTCAAATTGATTTAGTTTTGATTAGCAACAGTTGATGCAAATCAGCAGGAAATTTCTGGAGCAGGTTATAGCTTCAGCATCAGTTCTGCCACTCTTTGAGGTATTCTTCATTTCTCTCTCTCTCTCCTCTCTCTCTCTCTCTGATTTTGATGTTCTGCCGTAATTTTGCAGATTTTTTATTTTTTTTTGTGGATAAATTTCCTCTGTTTTTAATTGTTTCATCCGCCAAATTCATGTTAGAATGAAGAGTTCTTGTTTGTATGCACTTCTGGTCAGATTTCAGGGTCTTCATTTGCTAATATTTTCCTTGTGTTGTGAATAAGCTTTCTTTAGTCTACATCTCCATTCAATTGGCTAAGTTGAATTGCTGAACAAACCCATCACTTATTATATTGAATATATTATATGAAAGCTCCGATTTTTTTCCTTAAAAAACTTTAATTTCCTAATTAGATTATAGAAATCAAATTGCCTTTTTAAACAATACTACTGCCACTTGTGTTTCCATGAACCAAAACAAATCATGAAAAAGAACTATACAAAGGGATGCTCTATTTAATCTGTAGAGAATTACGAATCTAGGTTCTGCCACTTAAGGATGTATATATACAGCTTTTAACTCATAGACTGTTTTGTTCTTATAATTTAAAAGAATACAAGTTGAAGAGAATATTGACAACAATTTATTAAGATGTATTATGTTTAATACATGTGTAAGGACCTAATTTTAATACATGTCTCTCACTCTCAGATTATGAGCTTTATTATGTTTAAGGACCTAATTGGGAATTGAATATAAACATGTACATAGTTATTATTATTATTTTTTTACTTAAAAGTGTTTTGTTTTGTTTAGTTCGATTGTATAATGTTTAAGTTTTTGTTTATTTTAATTGAGGTATTGTTTTTATGCATGGTCTAAAATATCGATGATATATGAAATATCGGTAATCCAAAAACATGGAAATTTCGATGGAAATTTCGGGATATTATCGATATCGATAAAAATTGAATAAAAACCACGGAAATTGTAAGAAAAACTTGGAAATTTTTAATGAAACTTTGGAGAATGTTTATTTAGTCAATTATCTATTAGTTTATAATAAAAAATTAGAAGGAAATGCATTACATGATGAATTTAACTGATTTAAGTTGATTATATAGCGAGCTGGCAAACACTGTGAGTGTAGAAAATATGTAGTAATTAATGAAAAAAAGATTAAACACACCATAATCATTTATATATAATGATTTACTACAATATTTTACACTTTATACATTGCATGGTAAGATACATAAGTGACTTAGTACCACATAGAGTTCCTATGAAGTTCAAAATTTTCACTATCTTCATCATCTTTATGTGTAGAGTAAGTGTATTGTGAAGAGTATTTATCAAATGATAAATCCCTAAAATAGTTTTTCATGTAATTGTTAACATGTCACCCATATAAATATAAATATTTTAGCATATTATCACTAAAACATAAGTGATATATGGTGGTTAAGGTGTTGGAGGTGTAAAATGGGAGGGGTTCAATCCCCTTTGGGTTTTTTTTTCCCCTCTCTTTTTTTTCTTCTTTTTTTTTCCTTTTTTTTTCTTTTACATCGATATTTTAGCAATAATACATTGATATTTTGACAAAATATTGCTAAAGTGTGAGCGAAATTATCGACATCGATATTTTTCGATATTATCGTCGATATTTATACGATATGTACATGGATATGTTCTAAAATATCCGTGATTCGAAAAAACCGAAATATCCTCGATATTATCGATATTTCAGACTATTTTTTTATGTGAGCCAACAATTCAAGAGATGGAGTTCTATGAATCGATTGAATTAGGTATATCTTTGTAATTTATGTGCTTGATTAATGTATTATATAATATGTATATTTGACTAATGTTTTAATGGGTTTATGTTTTTTTTATGTAAATATTATGAGTTCATCCAAACCTACCAAGTCTGCTCAAGCTACTTTTCAATGTTAGGAGAAATTTAATGAAGTTGGATTGAATTTGGGTTGTAATTTATTTTGGAACTTATTTTGCTGAAGTTTGATTGATTTTATATGTTGTTGAAGTTAGATTGAATTTGGATTGTATTTTTGTTGAAGTTGGATTCATTTTGATGTGTTGAAAGCTTGATGGAAGCTCAAATTTTGGATATGTTAGTATATAAATACATTTTGGGCAGGTCTGTAAAAAAAATTATAAAATAAAATTTTGGGCCCAAGCCCAAACCAAAACCGCAAGAATCGAACCGGAATCTGACAAGTTCGGGTTGGTTCAGATTTATATATGGATTTTAAACAAAACCGGTCCAAACCAAACCGGTCTTCATTTTCGGTTTAGTTTCTATTTTTTCACGAAAATCAATCTAAACCGAACCGTGCCCACCCCTACTTTGGCCCATCGAGCCTAAGGCTACCCACTTCTACCCGCACGAAATGAGATAGTTTACCGAAATATTCATTTTCGCAAAACTGGAATTGAGATAGTTTACCCAAATGAAATGGCATTTCCAAAAGGTCCCCTTTTAGACAATTTTGCAATTTTTGTTTTTACCTCGTAAGCCTTTTTTTTGTTTTTTTTTGAAACATGCCTCGTAAGCCTTTGTCTCTCTCGCACTGTGGCTCTCTCTCTCTCTCTCTCTGACTCTCTTCACTCTCACTCTGACTCTTCTCTCTCGCTCTAGCTCTAGCTATCTCGCACTGTGGCTCTTTCTCGCCAATTCGCCTATCTCTCTCCAAGAATCCCTTTCTCCATTCAATAGCAGATTAGCCACCACTCTCAAGACAGGTAACAACTCATCTTCTCTTAGGATTATGGTATAGGATTTCTAACAAATCAAATATTATGTCCCTAATTTTATTTAGTTTTAAGCTATTTGGGTATTGAATTGTAAGTCCTCATTATCTTTGTTGTAAATATTTTGGATTATATAGAAATTGGGGTAAGTTTTGTGAAATTTTTTCTGGGTTTTTTGTTGGAAAGAAGACTTTGATCTAATTATATGAATTGTGAACACGATTTGTTGTTTTATGTTTAATTTTTCCACGGTGGTTAATTTTTTGTTGTTTGTGATGTACTTCACTCCTTTGCAAAGAATATCTAAAACATATGCTGCTCCCCTCGTGTATTTTATCTGGAAACAATTCTGTAGTTTTGCTTTTGGTTAACGGGTAAGGTTTTGGTTGCGGGCTTGACATTATTTTTCTAGAGGAGGTAAATCGGTTTTGTAGTTTAAACATACAAAATTCTGCTTAAAATATATATATTAAAAAAACGCAAGCACATCTAATGTCAATAGCACATCCAATTTATATCTAACAGATGAATATCATGACATGGATATGAATTGTGGAGCACTTAGATTGCCTTTATTTCTATTTGTTATCTTATTCTTCTAGCCTCACTAATAATTCATTACCACCAGAAAAAGAATTTGGAGGTAATATGGGGATAAGGGTGAATTTACACTTATTAATTTGTTTTATTGTTGTTTGTAATATTATTTACATTGTAGTTTGTTGCTGCTGAGTTTCAAAGGGAAAGATACCCACCCTGTTATATACATAATTTTTTTGTTCTTTTGGGGGCTTGGAAATGTTGTAGTTGACACTATAGAATGTTTAAGTGTGTGTTATCAGTTTAAGTAATATCTTGATGTTGAAGCTTAAGAAATTGCTGCAGTATATATTTACCTTTATTCTGCACACCATGGGCTTTTTATGTATTTCTTTCCAACTTTGTTCCTTTCATTATCTGAGCCCATTGTTTTTGTTAACATATGGACAATATTGCCCACTAATATGGTGTTTATTTCCTGAATAACTTTATTTGTTTGGAATATGAGAAATGGTTATATGAAATCCAAGAGTTTTGAGTGGCATTGGTCATAAGCTATTTTACCATTTTTATATTTGCTTGAGAAGATGGGAATGCAATGTATGACCTATAAATTTAAGGGTAAGGTATCTTTGCTACTTTTATTCAGCTGAATTTTCTTCGCTTTTTATTTCTGCATGCAGGTTTATATATATCATCAAATTCGATAGCTAGCTATGGTTAGGGAATTGGTTATGATATAAGAAGGAATATTGGTGGTCTCGATGCGTTATTGAAGATTGTAGAACAGGTAAAGTAAAAGAACATGTGTATAGATTTTTTGGGTATGATATGCTTGGCTGGATGTTAGTGATAGTTCAATAAAGAAGTCTAACTACATAATATTACTTCCCTAGATTTGAAATCCTTTCCGAGTGAGCCCAAGAAAACTCAAGTGGAAATTGATATGAATATGGAAAAATAAAAAAATAAAAAGTATTTAATATTGTATAGGTTATTCATTATAATAAAAAATAAACGTTCAAAAAATTTATCAAAAAATAAACGTTTCGATAATTGGGCTGTCTAAAAACGGTGAATTTGACTGTGCAGAAATGGTGATGTATCTGGTCGACAGTTCTAACTTAAAGATTGTTACTCATTTGAAGGAAATTTTTTATTTTCACCTCTCAATGATTTGTAGTTTTATCGTTTGTCAAATGATATATGATACTGTCATAAATAAGAATAATGATGATGATGGGTGGACCTTTCTTCTCCTTTCTATTCCCTATGATGGCTGTATTTCAGATCCGTTTGCTTTCACTGCTTTAATCTCTAGACTAGGAAAAAAAATTTAGTAGAGAATTGAAATGATTGTGGACTTCATTGTCATCTGGGAAACAATAAATTTCGAATCAGAACTTATCAGTAGTTGATATGAATTGAGTGTTGAAGCATCTCTATTGATCCTAGTGCACAAATGAATTTCATGGATGAGGACGCTTCTTCGGGCTCTGGAGATGATGCAAACATGCTAGATGGAAACAAGCATCATTCTGGGGTACCATCAAGTTCAGGTCGTCGGAAGAGAAGTCGCAAGGCCACCAGTGATGCTATAGTGGATGCTATGCTTGAAATAGCTGCAGCTTCAAAAATGAGGGCAGCGGCAATCATGAAGAGCGAGGAAGGGTTTTCCATAAGCAAATGCATAAAGGTACTGGATGATATGCCAGGCATTGATCAGCAGATCTACTTTTCTGCATTGGATTTGTTTGAGAACCCTAATGCGAGAGAAACTTTCATTTCTCTTAAGAGTGAGAAACGGTTACCGTGGTTGCAGCGCAAGTTTAGTGCTTCCCCTAATTGAATAGTATGAGCAGTCTTATCGTTTCCCTTTTCCTTTTGTTGTGTAGTTAAGGTGCCAAAGATTTTTTTGGTGTGTATCGAGTTCACTCCAAACAGTTAACATTTGTAACTAATAATATGACATTCTAATTTGCATACAATTATCATTTTTGGCTTGAAACTGCAAGATTTGTAGTGGATTTTGTTTCATTTGATGGTTTTCTGTTTTTTAAGGCCATTTACGCCACTCAAGTGGTTGTCTTGTGTGGTATCTTAAATTTGATTTTACAGATACAACAGCTGGCATGGATGATTTTGACTTAGAATTGGATGAGATGGAACTAACTGCTGCAGCGGCTGGCTACTACTATTATAACAGTATTACCAAGCAAACTTGTCGTAGTCTGTCACCCAGTAAAGAAAGTGGATTTATGACCGAAGTTCTCAATGGTCATGATGATGTGTTCCAGGAAATGTTTCGGATGGATAAAAATGTTTTTCACAAGTTATGTGACATTCTTCGGCAGAGAGGCATGTTACGTGATACTGCTGGTGTTATGATAGAAGAGCAGCTGGGAATTTTTTTGAATATTATTGGCCATAATGAACGTAACAGAGTAATCCAAGAGCGGTTTCATCATTCAGGTGAAACCATCAGCCGTCATTTCAATAATGTGTTGAAGGCAGTCAAGTCACTCTCTCGTGAATTCTTACAAACACCAACCCCCACCACCCCTCCAAAAATCCTTGGAAATATTAGATTTTATCCATATTTCCAGGTGTGTGTTAATGTCATGCTTTTCTCATTTGATTTGTTCTTTTGCCATTCACTTTTAGTTACTATCTTATAACAAGAATGTTACTATCTGTTTTTAGGATTGTGTAGGAGTCATTGGTGGAATGCACATTCCAGCCCATGTCCCAGCCAAAGATCAATCCCGTTTTCGAAACAAGAAAGGTGTTCTTTCACAAAATGTGTTGGCAGCTTGCACGTTTGACCTCCAGTTTATTTTCATTTATCCTGGTTGGGAAGGATCAGCAACAGGTTCACGTGTATTGAAGGCAGTTCTTGATGATCCACATCAGAATTTTCCTTGTATTCCTGAAGGTTTGCCTCAGATATTTTATATCTGAAACATGCTGCTTGCATACATTATTTAATCTTATATACACCACGTGTAAAGCCATCCACAACTTATGTTTGTCAATGGGTTTAGCTTGCAGGAAAATATCAACTTACATTTGTCACTGATTTTCTTGTAGGGAAATATTACCTTGTTGACTCAGGATATGCAAATATGAAAGGATTTATTGCTCCATTTCAAGGGGTAAGGTATCACGTTCATGAATATAGAGGTGCTAATCAGTTACCTAGAAATGCAAGGGAGCTATTTAATCACAGGCACTCATCTCTTAGCAATGTCATCCAGAGGTCTTTTTCTTTGTTGAAGACTAGGTTTCCTATTCTCAAACTTGCTCCTCAGTATGCTGTTCATATTCAAAGAGATATAGTTATAGCTGCATGTGTTCTACACAATTACATACGGCGTATGTCAGAAAAGGATTGGCTGTTTTCCGATGCAGAAAGGATAACAATGGATGAATTGCCTGATCTTGATGAAAATCCTGACATGGAATTGGTTGCTTCGTTACCAGAACATGTTGCTTTTTCATTGAGAGAGTCGATTGCAGCAGAAATGTGGAATGACTTTATAAATAGATGGGATCAGTGGTAACTGTTAGCAATGTCTTTCATGATTATGATTGTTATTACTGTTGTTATTATCAATATTATTACTGTTGTTGTTCTTATCAACTGACACCAGTCCCTCCCTCGTCAGTCGGCAGTGCATCATTTGCATCTTATATCTAGCTTACTCTCAGCCCTCTTTTGCCTATCTGGTCCTCAAGCATAAATTTTCCTGAAGGATGCATGATAAATTTATAAACAACTTAAGGGGATAAAACGTCGTGATTCTGTACGGGCATGACAACCTGATGTTGGAGTTGATTTATTGTATGCCCTCACTTGTCAGCAAATAGAATCAAATAACAACTATAATGTTTTATCAAAAGCAGAGAAAAGGACAATGGCACTGTGGAAATGTGTAAAAGAAAAATATGATGTCAATATAAGAAAAAAAAGAAAAAAAGAAAAAAAAAAAAAAAAAAAAAAAAAAAAGAAATTGGGAAATTGGTGGCTTTGGCACTGACTTGAGTAAACATTGGTAAAATAATTTTTTTTAACCTTATAAATCTAAGGTCTATAAATACTCCTTATTGTCCATGCATCGCCTTCTCACTTTTCATTTTCATTCTTCTCTCTTCTTCTCCTCCTAACAAACCCTAAACTGAGAATTAGAGAAATAGAGACTCGGAAAGAGAGAAAGGGAGTTTCTTCCATAAACAGAGAAAGGTTTACAGTACTTCTTCCACGATTCCACTGCAATTGCCCCAAATTTCGAAATCCATAAGAACTCTATTTCTGGGTTTTGGTTAGGGCCTGTCCAACAGCACAAACTATGGAATCTAAGGATGAGTGGATATTATTCCTATAGTGAACCCAGATTTGACCAAATGATATTAGTAATAAGCAATCTATTGTAACACATGAACGTCGTACTGCCACTGTATTACTTCCCTAGTACCTCTTTTTTCAAGTCTGTGTTTGAATGAAATTATAGTGGGATTATGTAGTTTTGGTATTGCAATCATATAGCTCCCCTATTTAATTCGTCTTCTTCTTTTAATTTAATTCTTGATTCAGTTTCTTTCAAATTTTGGAATATAGGGCAGTGATTTAGGTATTTGAATTGGATATGAAAAAAAGGCATTAATTAGAACCAGTTATGTCTGTGTATTGCCTTGTATTAGCATCGTATTGCCCCCTTAGTGCTCCTATATTGATATCATATTGCCTTCTTTTTTTTTCAAGTCCGCCTAGGAATGAAATCATGGTCATGCTAGGAAAACCAACTTTAAATACCAACTTCTGTATTATCTCTCTAATAGAGGTGGAGCCCACCAATACAATGGGTCTCACGCTCTATTAGAGAGATGGTATCTAAAGTTTGTCTCTCTAGCATTTTCCATGAAATTATAATGCAGTTTTTGTATTGCCTTTGTATTATTGTCGTATTGCTACGGTATTGCTCTTATATTGCTATGATATTGCCTTTTTCCAACTCTGTTTGGGAATGAAATTATAATGCAGTTTTTGTATTGTCATCGTATTGCTCTTTGTAGAACCCAATTTCCATGTTTTTTGTGTTTATGATTTTTGGCCTTCTTGCAATTTCCATGTGAAGCTGTCTTATTGCTTTCGTATAGCCGTCTTATTGTCTCTGTATTGCGACTATATTGCCTCTCTAGCACTTTTTTTTTTCAAGTCTCTGTTGGATTGGAATTATTGTGGGAGTGTCGAGTTTTTGTATTGCTTTCGTATAGCTCCTCTATTGCTCCTATATTGCATCACCACCACCTTTTTTTCAAGTCTCTTCAAAATAAAACGAAAATCTTAGGAAGTTGCGAATAAGGTAGCTAGAAACATCATTATGTTAATACAATAGAATTAATTGGTAGTTAAAAAGACAATTTTTTGCTTAATATTGTAAGTACACATAGTGGCACTAAATAAGGACTACAAAAGCATTAATGCGCCATTATGGTATATGAGTCCTCCTTTTTGTCCAATATTGCAGCCTATAAAGAAAGAATTATCTTATATTCAAAATTTTCAATGAAAAATATTCTTTGAAAAGAATCAATAATCTACACAACATTGGACATTAAGAAGAATATTTGACATACTCATGAAACAATTTTTGCTATAGTAGGTTTGTAATTAAGATGTTCTTCTCCAAGCAAAAATGCACTCAGAATGGCCTCACACAAACAGAAAATGCACAGTCCATTTTTGCTATATGTGTATCATACGTCCTCCAATTCTCTTGTATGTGCGACTAGGGAAATTTAATTAAGACACCAAAAAAAAAAATAAGTAATTTACTGTGATCTTTTTTTTTCTTTTAAATATTTTTCCCCAATTTTTCATTTATCGATAAGAGTAGTTTAAGACACCCAGAGTAATTACTCGTATAAAGAATTTAGCACTTTCACGTTTCATAGTATACATGTACATATGTATTTTTCATGTTTAATACACGTATGTTTAACAAAAGTTTCAATAAGGCACACAAAATTAACGTATTATACAAATAATTCTCACATATTATTGAATAAAAATAATAAAATTAAAATATTACATAGTGACCTAACTTTTAAGTTGTAAAGAGGTCCTCTATAATTTATAAATAAATAACCCTAATAAATAGTATAGCCGGTTGGCTGTACACAGTTTTAAGAATTTTTTTCCTATAAATAGTATAGCCGCACAGCTATACACCTTTTTTATTTTTATTTTTGGTAAACCGGCTATACTCGGTTTTTTGAATTCTGTTATATAAATAGTATAGCCGGGCAGCTATACTTATTTTGACACGTGGGCGTCTAGTCGCAGGGGGTCCCCCTTTTTATGTCTATAAAATGTATAGCCGCACGGCTATACTCCGGTTTTCTGAAAAAGTTTTTAAAAATAATATAGCCGGGCAGCTATACTCATTTTTTCCTGATAATTTTAAAATTAAGAAAAAACCTCTCCCAACAGTAAACTTTTGCCGAATTAGACATATTCCGACGAAAGTAACCTATGTCGACAAAATTTCATTGGGGAAAGACTAATCCCTTTTTTCGCCAGGATATACATGTGCCGACGAAATTACGTCGGAACAGATTTTTATAAAAAATAAATAAATAAATATAAACTTAGTATGCTTAGGTTAATTAATTTTTAAAATTTTATTTCACTAATTAAATATGATCTTTGGCTTACTTTAATTATTATTTCTTTATTGAATAATTTGCATTAAATATTTTAATTAACTTCATGAATTTTATTACACAATCAATAGTAATTCAATTTTTCTATTTATACAGTATAGTCATGCGGCTGTATTCCTATAAAAATATATTTCCACATTGTACCAACAATGAAAATATAGATTTCTCTATAGGCTTATCTTTGTGAAATTCCCACATCGAAAATCCACCTCCTATAAAGGTGCTTATAAACAAAGCACTATGATGGTTTGCTAAGTATGGTTAACATTGGAGAGTTTGGCTAATGGGCTTGGCTATAAGCTCGGCTTTGATTAATAATGATTATATTAATCAAAGACTATGGCCTTGGGGCTCTTGTGATTTGGGGAAATTTAATTAAGACACCCAAACGAAAATAACTAATTTACCGAGATCCTTTTTTTCTAATAAATATGTTCCCCCTATTTTTCGTTTATCGATAAGAGTAGTTTAAGACACCAGTAGTTTAAGACACCCAGAGTAATTACCCGTATAAAGAATTTAGCACTTTCACGTTTCATAGTATACATGTACATATGTATTTTTCATGTTTAATACACGTATTTTTAACAATAGTTTCAATAAGACACACAAAATTAACGTATTATACAAATAATTCTCACATATTATTAATAAAAATAATATATATTAAAATATTATATAGTGACCTAACTTTTAAGTTGTAAAGAGGTCCTCTATAAATTTTTTGGATTAACTACACTTTAGTCCCTGGAGGTTTAGTGTCAGTATCGAAATGGGCCCCGAGGTTTCATTTTAATCAATTTTGTACCCAACATTTCGAAATATTACCAATTTACACCAGCCGTTACATTGACCGTCAAAGTCAGACGTTAATTGCTGATGTGGGAGTCGTGGGACCCATCTCATAATCAAACAGTAGTTAAGAAAGAAGGGCACGGAATTAAATGGGAAAAAAAAAAAAAAAAAAAAAAAAAAAAAAACTCTTAAAAATATTATTAAATTATATTTTTAAAAACAAAAAAAAATTCCCTACTTTCTCTCTCTCACTCTCTGTCTCTCCTCCTATCTCCCTCCCTCTCTCTACCCAGAACTTGAAAACCCAACTCACATCTTCGACCCATCTCCGACCACCTCCCCACCCAACCACCATTGAAGCCATACAAACCCCACCCACATATCCGCCCCTCCCCGACTCACTATCTCATTCTCTCCCCTTCTCCTCCTGTTATTTTCAGAAAAGAACAAGATAAATTAGCACAAGAATGAGATGAATTTAAAACTGTGATATATGAAAGTATATATATGTTCTTACATTTGGAGACTGCAATTGATGATTTCTGGTCAAATCCAGTAATGAGGGTGAGCATTGGGATGAAAAAGCCACCCCCACCAACACCTCCCACACTCCCAAATGCTGCTCCAACAAATGCAATCATCGTACCCATCACGATTTTCCAGCCAAATCTGATATCCTGTATATGATCACCACTACAAAGTTTGAACTATTTGGAAGCACCATTTAAGACCTGCTATTCAGTTTTACCTACTAAAATGGACTGAAAAAATATGAGTTTTTGTTAAGGTATATATAATAGGGACAGGGAGGTAGAAGATTTACCAAAAAACAGTTTTTTACATTCCAAATCGATCATCCTTGGGCAAGGCACATTTTCTCAGCAGCCTAACATGCATTTAGGCAACAAACCCAACTAAGGTAATAGAAAATTGGACTTACAGGCCACACATGCTTATAACCCAAGTGAGATTGAACCTCTTTCCCAGTAATATTCTGGCTTGAAGGTTGTGAGCCCAACATTTCTTCATGTGCTGAAACTACTGCAGATGATAATGCTAATAAAACCAGAAAACCAACTCCAAGAGCTCCAATCTTACCAGCCATTTATTCAGAACTTCCTCCTAAACAATGCAGTATAACCGAAAAACTATATATATAATATATATATATATATGCCAACGGCCTTGAAGAACGCCGTAGCTGCGTTAAGCGATCATGGGCACGATGAAACCCAACAGACCCAAGAGCTCAAAATCCTCCAAAGCCACAATCGGCCACTGGACCCCACCACCGAGCCACCTCCTCCCCCGCCGCCTCACCTCGAGAATCTCAACCTTCCACCGCCTCCGCTGCCTCTACCCACTTTCACTCCGAGTCCTATCAAGAGGGCCACCAGCTTGCAGGCGATGAGCGCTGAGGCTCGAAAAATTGGGGGGCGGAGAGTTGGGTCGATCATTGCTGAAGAAGATGAGGAGGAAGAGGACCATGAAAATGATGATGAAGATCAGAGTCATAAAGGGTTTCAGAGGGGATCGAGAAATGGGGCTTCGGAAACGATGTCGTCGCCACCGAGGAAGCCGGAGATGAAGCCGGTGCCTCCAATGCCTGAGTCTGAGGTCATGGCTTAGGACTACTTTCTGGGCAGAGCGATGGAGAGAGAGAGAGAGAGAGAGAGAGAGAGAGAGTAGAGATTTTTTATTTATTTTTTGTTTTTAATAATATTTTTAAAGAGTTTATTATTATTATTTTCCGAAATTGCTCTTCATTTCATCTCTTTCTAAATACTGTTTGGTTATGAGGTGGGTCCCACGACTGCCACATCAGCAGTTAACGTTTGATTTTGACGGTCAATGTAACGGCTGGTGTAAATTGGTAATATTTCGAAATATTAGGTAAGAAATTGATTAAAATGAAACCTTGGAGCCCATTTTTATACTGACACTAAACCTCCATGGACTAAAGTGTAGTTAATCCAAATTTTTTTAAGTGTATAAATAGTACAGCCGGTCGGCTGTAAGTTTTTTGAATTGTTTTTCTATAAATAGTTTAGCTAGGCGGCTATACTTATTTTGACACGTGGGGGTCCCCTTTTTACATGTATAAACAATTTAGTCGCACGACTGTAGTCGGTTTTTCTGTTTTTTTTTTAAATATAAAATAATATAGCAGGGCGGTTGTACTCATTTTTTCCTGATATTTTTAAAAATAGAAAAAACCATAGGTTTGCCGACGAAATTTTGTCGGGAAAAGACTGATTCTTTATTTTTCGCTAGGATAGACATGCACCGACGAAAGATTTTTTTGAAAAATAAAAAAAAGTATAAACTTATTATGTTTAGGTTAATTAGTTTTTTAAAATTTTATTTTTAGTAATTAAATATGATCTTTAGCTTATTTTAATAATTATTTCTTTAGTGAATAATTAGTATTAAATATTTTAATTAACTTCATGAATTATATTACTCAATCAATAGTAATTCAATTTTTCTATTTATATAGTATAGTCGTGTGGCTGTACTCCTATAAAAATATATTTCCACATTGCACCAACAATAAAAATATGAATTTCTCTGTAGGCTTATTTTTTGAGGTGCCCTTTATGAAAATCTCACATCGAAAATCCACACTCCTATAAAGGTGTTTATAAACAAAGCACAATAATGGTTTGGTAAGTGTGGTTAACATTGGAGAGTTGGGCTAATGGGCTTGGCTATAAGCTCGGCTTTGATTAATCAAAGACCAGGGCCTTGGGGCTCTTGGGATTTGGGGAAATTTAATTAAGACACACGAAAAAAAATAAGTAATTTACTAGGATCCTTTTTTCTTTTAAATATTTTTCCCCGATTTTTCATTTATCGATAAGAGTAGTTTAAGACACCCAGAGTAATTACCCATATAAAGAATTTAGCACTTTGACGTTTAATAGCATACACGTACATACATATTTTTCATGTTTAATACACATATTTTTAACAAAAGTTTCAATAAGACACACAAAATTAACATATTATACAAATAATTCTCCATATTATTGAATAAAAATCATATATATTAAAATATTATATAGGGAACTAACTTTTAAGTTGTAAAGAGGTCCTCTATATATATATATATATATATATATATATAAATAGTATAGCTGGCGGCTGTAATCGTTTTTTATTATTCTTTTTTGTAAAAATAGTATAGCCGCACGACTATACTCCCTTTTTACGTGTATAAATAGTACAGCCGCATGGCTATACACCGTTTTTCTTATCCGGCGACTGTACTTGGTTTTTTTATTTTTTTCTATAAATAGTATAGCCGATCGGCTATACTCGCTTTTTACTTTCTTTTTTTTAAGTAGTATAGCCAGTCGGCTATACTTATTTTGGCACGTGGGCGCCTAATCGTAAGGGGCTCCTCCCCTCCTACAAGTATAGCTGCACGGCACTTGGTAGGTGTCAGGTAATCGACCAAATTGTCCTTCTAACTAAGACTCAAAATTTCTTTTTAGGTTTGACTTCTATCCAAAATTTGGTAAAGTCTCCTCTGTAAATTGCTCGTTTTCCAAAAATTTTCACATGTACAAAACTCAATTCATAAGCCACAATCGTTCAGCGTGCACAATGTTAGAATTCACGCAATCCAACATCCATCTTTGTGGCCTTAGGCCTTACAAAAAACCTTAGGGCCAGATCATGCTAATTCAGTTAATTTACAAAAGTAATAAAGTTTTGGAAAATATAATATCAGCATGCTAATCTCACTGTTAAAACATTTAAAAATTCAATTATATCCATGTTCTATATTCGTACAAAAATCAAGCATGCATATCTATATGCATATAACCAGTCATGCATTCCGTCAAATCATCAAAACCCATTGAAAGCATTGAAAAGTGATAATTCCTTTCCACCTAGGTGTACCCATAATAAATCCGTCAATTCCATGATTTTCTTTTTAATTCCCACAATATACCGTCAATTCCTTGTGTCACATAATGCGACACATCCTCTCATGCCTCGGTAACACAAAGTCAACCCGAGCCGTATTCCTCACAAGACTCAGGGGACACTTGGTCAACCTGAGCCGCATTCTTTGCTCCTCACAATCCGGATATCCCTAAGACTCGTGGGGCAACTGTCAAACGTGCATTGACTCAACCAAAGGCAACTAGGATGTCTGTGGACATCATTATATCCGAAGGCAATATTTGGGTACCTATGGTGGTTTAAAGACACAAGCCCTTCTTTGAAAATTAGAAAAATATTTTTAAAAAATTAATAAATAGTAAAGCCAGTCGGCTATACTTATTTTGACACGTGGACGCCTAATCGCAAGGGGGTCCCCCCTTTAAACACGTATAACACATATAGCCGTGCGGCTATACTCTATTTTTATGATTTTTTTTATTTTAAAAAATTATATAGCCAGGGCAGTTGTACTCAATTTTTTATGATATTTTTAAAAATAAGAAAAAACTTCTCACAACGAAATGTCATCGGCAGAGGTTCACCTCTTTTCTTACGATTGGCTACCATAGGGTTCTTGTTTGGAGTCTATAACGGCAAACTTTTGCCATATTAGACATCCCCGACAAAAGTCACCTCTGCCGATGAAAGTTCATCGAGAAAAGACTAATCCTTTATTTTTCGCCATGATAGACATGTGCCGACAAAATTTAGTCAAAACCGATTTTTTTTTTAAATTAAAAATAAATATAAACCAAAACGCAGAAATTGATCCAAAATAACCCAACCAGCAACTAGGTCACATTGAGAGGATGGATAAGCATACCTGGATCGCAAGATTTGGTTGCTGAAAACATCCAAACGAGCTCCGTGAAATTTCTTAAGAAAATCGACCGGATTTTCGTGTTTTTCGGCAAATGCCAGCAGTTCCAGCAATGGCGTGCCTTATCATCCTCATGCATCAAGATTTGATTATAGGCGGAGTTGGTGTCCACGAAGCTGAGTAGTTGATTGCTAGAAGTTGAATCCACAATTTGGTTGATTCTCAACAATGAAAAGTTGTCTTTAGGGCACGCTTTGTTGATGTCGGTGTAATCGATGCAAACTCTCTATTTGCCCTTTTCTTGTTCGCCACCATAACAACGTTGGCTAGCCACTCTAAGTATGAGACTTCTTCAATGAAGCCGGCATATAGGAGCTTGTCAATCTCGGCTTCAATGATCGCAACTCGCTCGAGAGCAAAGTTGCGTCTCTTTTGCGCCCTGGCTTGTTGGCAGGGTTCACATGCAGTCTGTGGCAGATGATGTTCAAGTCAATGCTAGACATGTCATATGATGACCAAGCGAACATGACTTTGTTGTTCTAGTTGGGGGTTGTGATGAGAGTCTCAAATTACATATTTTTACTATTATTTTGGAGACTTTATGATATAATTTTGGCTTAATGAATATAATTTCACTTGTTGTTACATTTTATTCTCACCAACTGGATTTATGAATTTTCTATATTAATTTGGTGAACTTATTAGGTGAATATCTTCTGTAGGAAGTTGGAAAGCCAAAAGATGAAGACATACATTTGTCCAAGTTCAAGCTAGGTGTGAAGAGAATTGCTGGCAGATTTAATTGAAGAATTGATTGTGGGATTATTGTGATTATAAAGAGAAGTAAAGAGGGAGAAGAGAAGACAAAACCGTTGAAGCTAAAGAGCCTATTTTATGTCATTCATAGCCATTTAACGCCCACTTACCTCACCGTTATTTCTTTTCCACTAACTCTTCACCATCAACACATGTTTAATCCAATTAATCCCTCAATTAAACCCTTCATCACCCACCATGAATGTATTAACTTCCCACTCACCTCATTGACTACTATAAATCACCCATCAACTTATTTGGCAAGGGCACCCCTACGACAGATTTCTTTATCCATTTAGTTTATGTTTTCCTTTGTAATGAGTTGCTAGAACTCTAGCTAAGGCTAAAGGGAATGTTCTTTGAGTAAGTTTGTGAATTGTTCTTTAATCCAATATACGGTATGAATTGCTAAATTCTTTTATTTTTGGTTGTTCAATATTTTCATATCCTTTTATTTTGATTGATGTTAAGTGCTATTATCTTTTCATGAGTTCAATTATATTTTTCTCATTGTTAAGAACTGACTTGGCATGCTTTTAAATTAAAAGAGTAGATATTAAGCAACTCCACTTTCTGAACAATCATTAATAAAAGATTACATTGAAAAATTTAATTGGTTTTAATTTCTTTATCTCCCGGTTAAAGTTTCTCAATGATGATTTTAATCGAGTTATAATTTGGATTAAGAGCATGAAACATATTTTGTTTAAAGAATTGAACCTTGATGCCTCAACATTTCCATTATTGATATTTCATTTTTAAACTCAATTTTCCACAACAATCAAATCAAATTACTTTTCCATTTTACTTGTCACTTTTATTGTGGTACGTTTAATTATTTCTTTGTGTGCAGATATTTGCCTACCTGCTCCTTGAGGATACGATACTTGGACTTCCAAGATTATTACTACGTGTGACTACTTGCACTTGGGTAGACGCAACAAGTTTTTGGCGCCGCTGCCGGGGAGCGATGAAGCAGAAAGTAGCACAAGGAAATTCATTGTTAAGGTTTGCGGTTTTAGTTTCCAAAGCTAATTCGGTAAGGCTTATCAAACTCAATTTTTCATTTCTTTTTTTTTGTTTTTTTTGTTTTTTGTTTGTTTTTGTCTTAGTTTTTTTTTAATATTAAAAAAAATTAGTTTAGATTTTATTTATTTATTTGTTACTTCTTTATTTTGTTTATGAGATATCGTGATCGGTTTGGTAGATTTGCAAAGAAACCTCAATTTGACCAAATTTCATCACAAATGGCTGAGAATAATAATAATAATAATGCATTGGAAGGCCCCCAAAATGATGAAGATAATCATAGTGTTCATAATGATGAGAATCCACTTGTTAGGACATTACATGATTATTTGCATCCTGCTCGTACAAGTGTGCCATCTTGCATCATTTTTCCGTTGAATGGTCAAACTTTTGATTTTAAACCGGGCATGATACAACTTTTACCAACTTTTCATGGAATGGAATCTGAAAATCCATATTCACATGTGCGTGAGTTTGAGGAAGTTTGTGGAACTTTTCCAACACAAGGGTGTAGGCTTGATACAGTTTTGCTAAAACTTTTTCCATTTTCACTGAAAGATAAAGCGAAAACTTGGCTTTATTCTCTAAGGCCAAGAACAATTGGAACATGGCTTGAAATGCAAACTGAATTTTTCAAGAAATTTTTCCCAATTCAAAAGACAAATTCTTTGAAAAGACAGATGACCACATTTTCTCAAAAAGATACTGAGTCTTTACCTCAAGCTTGGGAAAGATTTAAAGATTTGTTAATGTTATGTCCTCACCATGGTTTTGAAAGATGGAGGGTGGTAAGTCATTTTTATGATGGTTTAACACCTAAAGATCGACAATTTATTGAGATGATGTGCAATGGAAATTTTATGTATAAAGATCCTGAAGATGCTTTTGATTTTCTTGATGAAATTGCAGAGAAATCTCAAATTTGGAGCACTCCCAACACATTTGAGCCTAATTCCCAAAAGGCAAAATCTTCCATTAATCCTTCTAGCGGCGGTATTTATCACCTTAAGGAGGAAGATAGTCTCAAAGCTCAATTGGCAACAATGGCTAGGGAAGTTGAAACTCTAAAATCAAAATTGCCTCAAAAAGTTAATTCAATTGCAAGTCAAGAAATTTTTGAGATTTGTGAAGTTTGCGGGGTCATGGGACATGTAACAAAAGAGTGTCCAACACTTCCAGCTTTCAGAGAAATGTTGCATGATCAAGCAAACTTTGTGAATCAATTTAAAAAACCATCCACTTTTTCTGAAACTTATAATCCAGGATGGAGAAACCACCCAAATTTCAGTTGGAGAAATAATACTAATAATAATGTGCCTCAACAAAAATCTAATTCTTTTTATTATTCTCCACAGGTGGAAGGACAATCATCGTCATCAAATTTGGAAGATGTTATGAAGCAATTCATACAAAGCCAAACTGCCACAAATCAAAAGAATGCACAAGACATTGGTGAGATTAAGAGCACTCTTTCCAAACTCACTTCTTCACTGTCAATTCAAGAAAAGGGTAAATTTCCTTCTCAAGTCCAACCTAATCCACATGCACAGTTAGAGGTAAATACCCCTTCTTCTTCTTCTTCTTTGAATGAAAATAAGCATGAATATGTGAAGGCTGTCACTACTCTTCGTAGTGGAAAAATAATTGGGAAAGATGATTTAGTAACAGTTGAAAATAAAAAGAATTCAGAAAAATCCAAAAATAATGAAAAAGAAAATAATGATTCTGAAATTGTTAAGTGCCCTTTTCCTGTTCCATTCCCACAAGCACTTAAGGTTGGAAAGAAAAATCAAAATCCTGAAATTTTGGAGGTTTTTAAACAAGTGAAAATCAATATACCTCTTTTGGATGCTATAAAACAAATTCCTTCATATTCAAAATTTTTAAAGGATTTATGCACTATCAAAAGAAAGCACAATGTTGATAAGACCGCATTTTTAACTGAAAATGTAAGTGCAATTCTTCAAACTAATACTCCACCCAAGTACAAAGATCCAGGTTGTCCCACAATTTCTTGTATTATTGGAAATTTTATCATTGAACAAGCTTTATTGGATTTGGGTGCTAGTGTTAATTTGTTGCCTTACTCGGTTTATAAGCAATTGGGTCTTGGTGAATTAAAACCCACCTCAATAACATTGCAATTGGCTGACCGTTCAGTCAAAATCCCAAGAGGTATGGTGGAAGATGTGCTGGTTCAGGTAGACAAATTTTATTTTCTAGTTGATTTTATAGTTTTGGATGCTGAACCAGTTGTGTATTCTAATTCTCAAATTCCTGTTATTCTTGGAAGACCATTTCTTGCTACATCTAATGCTCATATAAATTGCAGGAATGGACTTATGCAACATATGCAAGCAGCCAGCAAACAATGAAGATGACAAAGAAGTTTACATGATCGAGACGATTGTTCAAAATTGCTTTAATTCTTCTTTTCCTTCTTATCCATTGCAAATTTGTTTAGTAAATGGGGATTGTAATTTTGCACAAGATTTTGAAGTACAATATCTTTGTTCTTTGTTGGATTCTGCGCAGGTACAAGAACATAATGGTTGGATACCAAAATATGAGGAGCTGCCAACTGTGAGTGATGTGACAAAATCATCAAGAGAAGAAGCCCCAAAGTGTGAATTGAAGCCTCTTCCTGCTGGACTTAAATATGCTTTTCTGGGAGAAGATGAGACCTATCCTGTGGTAATATCTTCTAAACTAGAGCTTTTGCATGAAGGTATGTTACTTAAAGTTTTGAAAGATCATAGGACTGCTATTGGATGGACTTTATCTGATATTAAAGGTATTAGTCCTTTGGTTTGCACACAAAATTTTTCTTGAAGAAGATGCTAAACCAGTTAGGCAGGCTCAACGTAGACTTAACCCAACAATGAAAGAAGTCGTGCAAAAAGAAGTACTTAAACTTTGGGATGCAGGTATCATATATCCAATTTCTGATAGCAAATGGGTAAGTCCTACACAGGTTGTTCCTAAAAAATCAGGAGTCACAGTAGTTGAAAATGATAATGGAGAAATGGTACCAACTAGGGTCACTACTGGATGGAGAATGTGTATTGATTATCGTAAATTGAACTCAGTCACAAGAAATGATCATTTTCCTTTACCATTTCTTGACCAAATTTTGGAAAGAGTTGCAGGGCATATATATTATTGTTTTTTAGATGGTTATTCAGGATATTATCAAATTGAGATTTCATTAGAAGATCAAGAAAAAACAACTTTTACTTGCCCATTTGGAACTTTCGCTTTTAGAAAAATGCCTTTTGGTCTTTGCAATACACCAGCTACATTCCAACGTTGCATGATAAACATATTTAGTGACATGGTAGAAAAATATTTAGAAGTTTTCATGGATGATATTACTGTGTTTGGTGATTCATTTTCTGATTGTTTATCTAACTTGGAGAATGTTCTTATCAGGTGTAAGGAGAAAAATTTGGTGCTTAACTGGGAGAAATGCCAATTCATGGTCACATCTGGCATAGTACTTGGACACATTGTTTCTCACAAAGGAATTGAAGTAGATAAGTCAAAAATTGATTTAATTGCTAATCTGCCTATTCCTAAAACTGTTAAAGATATTAGATCTTTTTTAGGACATGCAGGTTTTTATCGGAGATTCATACAAAATTTTAGTGCGATTGCAAGGCCATTGAATAATCTCTTGGAGAAAGATGCTAAATTTGATTGGAATTATGCATGTCAAGAAGCATTTGAGAAATTGATTAAAATGCTAACATCAACTCCTGTAATGCAGCCCCCAGATTGGTCCATGCCGTTTGAAATAATGTGTGATGCTAGTGATGGTGCTATTGGTGCAGTGCTAGGCCAAAGAAAAGACAAGAAGCCTGTTGTCATCTGCTACGCAAGCAGAACTTTGAATAGTGCACAGAAAAATTACAATACAACAGAAAAAGAATTGCTTGCTGTAGTTTTTGCATTGGAAAAGTTTAGGTCATATATTTTGGGCTCACAAATTGTTGTATTTACAGATCATTCGGCCTTGAAGTATTTATTGACAAAGAAGGAAGCCAAATCACGATTGATTAGATGGATTTTGCTTCTCCAAGAATTTGATCTTACAATCAAGGACAAGAAAGGAGTGGAGAATGTTGTTGCATACCATCTTTCTAGGATATCTTTTGAGGAGCCTTATGAATATTTGCCTATAAAAGATTCATTTCCTGATGAACAATTGTTTAGTGTTTCTACATTACCATGGTTTGCTAACATTGTGAATTTTCTTGCTACAGGTCTTATTCCACCTCATTGGACCTCACAAGATAAAAAGAAATTTATGATTGAGGTGAGAAAATTCTTTTGGGATGACCCGTATCTCTTCAAATATTGTCCCGACCAGGTAATCCGTAGATGTGTGCCTGATGATGAAATATTTAGTGTCATATCTTTTTGTCATTTTGAGGCTTGTGGAGGTCACTTTTCTTCCAAAAAGACTTCGGCCAAAATTCTTCAATGTGGTTTTTATTGGCCTAGACTTTTTAAAGATGTGTATGAATTTTGCAAAACTTGTCCAAGTTGTCAAAAGTTGGGAAAAATTACTCGACGTAATATGATGCCTCTTAACCCAATTTTAATTATTGAAATTTTTGACTGTTGGGGCATTGATTTTATGGGTCCTTTTCCTCCATCTTTTGGTTACTTATATATCCTTGTTGCTGTGGATTATGTTTCAAAATGGATTGAGGCCATACCATGTCGGAAGAATGATCATAAAACTGTTTTGAAATTTTTGAAAGAAAATGTATTGTCCAGGTTTGGTATTCCTAGAGCGATCATCAGTGATGGAGGATCACATTTTTGCAACCGACCATTTGAAGCTTTGATGAAAAAATATGGGATAACCCATAAGATTTCCACTCCATACCATCCACAGACAAATAGTCAAGCAGAACTTGCAAACAGGGAAATCAAGCAAATTTTGGAAAAGACGGTGAATCCAACCCGGAAGGATTGGTCATTGAGACTAACTGATGCCTTGTGGGCATACCGTACTGCATACAAATCACCTCTTGGTATGTCTCCATATAGGCTAGTTTATGGTAAACCTTGTCATTTACCTGTTGAATTAGAACATAAAGCATATTGGGCTATCAAATTGTTTAACTTTAGTCTTGGAGATGCAGGTACCTTGAGAAAACTCCAATTGAATGAACTTGAGGAAGTCAGGAATGATGCATATAAGAACTCACGAATTTACAAAGAACGTACTAAAGTTTTTCATGATAAAAATATTTTGAGGAAAAATTTTGAGCCTTCTCAACTTGTTCTTTTGTATAATTCTAGACTTCATTTGTTTCCTGGAAAATTAAGAACTAAATGGACAGGGCCTTTCATTGTTAAAAAAGTTTTCCCATATGGGACTGTTGAAGTTGAGGATCCCAAGAATGGAAATATTTTTAAGGTTAATGGCCAACGACTTAAACCTTACTTGGGGAGATGTGTTCCAGAAGATGAGACAGTTTCTTTGAACAAACCTGTTTACCAGGATTGATTGGACTTCCCTTAGTCCATCTATTGTATATAATTAGTTTAGAAAATTTTGTTCACTTGAAAAAAAAAAAAACGACATTTATGTTTTTTGTTTTGTTTTGTTTTTACACTAACATGTTGCAGGCTTTCACTTTGGATGTCAATTCTTAGGTAACGCTACCCTCTTCTTTTTATTATGCTTATATGTTTAAACATTGAGGACAATGTCAATCTTTGGTTGGGGGTGGAGAAGATGTGTTTATTGTATTATTTTCTTGTTGCAACATGTTAGTTTTCCTTTCATTTTTGTTTTTGTTTTTGTTTTTTGGTTTGGTTTTGTTTTTGTATTTTGTTTTTGTTTATTTTTGTTTATTTTCGTCATTTATTTAAATTGTAAAAAAAAACTGAAAAGTGTGAAGAAAAAAAAATTGTTTATGAGGTTAGTGCACTGTGTTGTTTGTTTTTCACAGTCTGTCTGTGACAAGATTACATTGCACTTAGATTTATTTGATATTCATGAATGATTTTAAGATTGAGAACATATGAATTATATGATAATTATCCCACTTCTGTGTCTTTTTCATTTATTTCTAGTTAGTGGATGATTCATGAGTTATACTTTGACAATTTACACAAGCACACTAACACCTTTTGTGGGGTATAAAGTTAAAAACCAATTGTGCTTAATCTTTTGTCTTTGGTAAACTTGGACGACCTTGCTTTTGACTCATCTTGATTTAAAAAAAATAAAAAAAAAAAAAAGGTTCATGAAATAATAGTGTTCTACTCAAGCTTCTACTTAGTAACCGGGCCTCTTGCCTAATTAGCAGTGAGTGTTTGCCTCAAACGGTGAAGTTCTGGGTGTGAATAATTTTGTGTGGCTAGTTTAGTTTCGTAGCCTTTTTAACTCGGGTTAGTAAGCTCTTAGGGGTGTCTCTACACCTAGTGCCTTAAAGCCTTTTTGGTTTGAGAGTCGCTAGCCTAACACTCGCTATATGGGTTAATTAGAAAGCTTAATGGAGCTAAGCATTGCACAGCCCACATAAAGAAAAAAAATAGTATATTAAAAATAAATAAAAATAAAAATAAAAACCTTGGTTTGTTTCTCGCAAGGGAGTTCAACAACTCTTGAGATCAAAAGGTTGGTGTGATTGGAATTTAGCTAATGCCACTCAATTGTGTTGGTTCACTTTACACCAAAGGAAACATGTGAAAATTTTGCTAGCTAATTATAAATGATTTGGGACTTCGAGGTGGGATTAACTTGAAATGTTAAATAAGTGTTCTCTCTTTTAACGTTGTTCATGAATTGAAAATTTGAACTTTGTGCTTTGTCCTTTTTGTTGGTGACAGATGTTGAAATTATTTTCCAACTTTTATTTTATTTCATGTTTCTGAATAATTGTGCTAGCCTCATACTTGATGTTTGTGGGTATCATCCCTGGAAACCCTCACGAGACTACAACTCGTCCTTTAGGGGTAACCTAAGGGTTTAAAGGCTTGTTGCATACGCTAAATGCAATCGTATCCCGCGAAAGTGGTTTAGCTGTTTTATTTGTTTTTTTTTCTTTTGGTCATTTTTACTTAAATTTGAGTTTCTTTTAGTCGCTTGAACAGCTAGGGACTAGCAATAAGCTGGTTGGGGGTTGTGATGAGAGTCTCAAATTACATATTTTTACTATTATTTTGGAGACTTTATGATATAATTTTGGCTTAATGAATATAATTTCACTTGTTGTTACATTTTATTCTCACCAACTGGATTTATGAATTTTCTATATTAATTTGGTGAACTTATTAGGTGAATTTATCTTCTGTAGGAAGTTGGAAAGCCAAAAGATGAAGACATACATTTGTCCAAGTTCAAGCTAGGTGTGAAGAGAATTGCTGGCAGATTTAATTGAAGAATTGATTGTGGGATTATTGTGATTATAAAGAGAAGTAAAGAGGGAGAAGAGAAGACAAAACCGTTGAAGCTAAAGAGCCTATTTTATGTCATTCATAGCCATTTAACGCCCACTTACCTCACCGTTATTTCTTTTCCACTAACTCTTCACCATCAACACATGTTTAATCCAATTAATCCCTCAATTAAACCCTTCATCACCCACCATGAATGTATTAACTTCCCACTCACCTCATTGACTACTATAAATCACCCATCAACTTATTTGGCAAGGGCACCCCTACGACAGATTTCTTTATCCATTTAGTTTATGTTTTCCTTTGTAATGAGTTGCTAGAACTCTAGCTAAGGCTAAAGGGAATGTTCTTTGAGTAAGTTTGTGAATTGTTCTTTAATCCAATATACGGTATGAATTGCTAAATTCTTTTATTTTTGGTTGTTCAATATTTTCATATCCTTTTATTTTGATTGATGTTAAGTGCTATTATCTTTTCATGAGTTCAATTATATTTTTCTCATTGTTAAGAACTGACTTGGCATGCTTTTAAATTAAAAGAGTAGATATTAAGCAACTCCACTTTCTGAACAATCATTAATAAAAGATTACATTGAAAAATTTAATTGGTTTTAATTTCTTTATCTCCCGGTTAAAGTTTCTCAATGATGATTTTAATCGAGTTATAATTTGGATTAAAGAGCATGAAACATATTTTGTTTAAAGAATTGAACCTTGATGCCTCAGCATTTCCATTATTGATATTTCATTTTTAAACTCAATTTTCCACAACAATCAAATCAAATTACTTTTCCATTTTACTTGTCACTTTTATTGTGGTACGTTTAATTATTTCTTTGTGTGCAGATATTTGCCTACCTGCTCTTTGAGGATACGATACTTGGACTTCCAAGATTATTACTACGTGTGACTACTTGCACTTGGGTAGACGCAACAGTTACCAAAACCATGCTAATCTTCATGCCAAGAAAAACAAAATGACTACGGTCAAGCAAGCAAGCATGGATATTTCATGCATATTGAAGAATCAGCCATGCCATGCCATTGCCAATTATTTTGGGCTAAAGTTGATTATTTGGCCCATCTCGCTACCACTTCATAGCCCTAATAATCAAGGGGGCTAATGTTGAGGCCCAAAAAAGTCATAGGAAGCCCAAAGACATTTAAAGCCCAAAATAACATATAATGTCGGTCATGCATTAATTCAAACTGTATTTTGGGATTTAATTCATTAAATAAATATAGAAATAGCGTACATGCCATGCCAAACTAATAATACATTTTTCCCATGCCGATCACCTATCAAGCTCACATGAACCCAAGTCATGTGGTTTACGGGGCTTGCATGAGGGATTGTGGTGTGGAAGGTTACGGAGGTCCACAAGGCCTACGGAAGCTCTTGGATAATGGAGACTTTGGGCTAGCTACTTGGGAGCACCAAAGTCCAAGCCCATTACTTAGAGTTCTCCAATGTGGGTGAGCAAATGAGATATTTTTCAAGCACTTCCTTTTACCCATAGGAAATAGTCATTTTCTAAATACCTAGCTTTACCCACTGGAAACAAGCAATTTACAATGCTTCCTTTTACCCATAGGAAATAATCAGTTTATGGTACCTAGCTTTACATGCTAGAAAATAGTATGCCCCAGTGCTCCCTTTTAACCACTAAAAATATGCTGGTTCCAGCTCCTTCCTTTACCTATTGGAAATAAAGGAAAACCCTCACCCTCTATAAATTGGCATTCATGGCTCAAGCAAAAGGCACCAATTTTTCTTCAACCAACACTCCCTCACTCGACTACTGCAAGCATCCCAACAGCCATCAACCCCCTTTAGCAACCACCAGACTACGTTCCTTCCTCCATTCAGTTGCTGCAAGTATTCCAGCAACTATCCCAACCATTCCTTAGCCATCACAATCATGTCTTCTACTTTCTCACCCTTGAAATCCATCATCTTCTCCATAAAGCCTCACCAAGCATAACTCCAAGCTTTTCCTTCCTTCCAAGCTATAAACACCATAGCTTTCAAGCTTCAAGCTTTTCCTTTTATCCTCTCACCCCTAGAACTCATAAATTTCTCTAGAATCATTGTCACAAACACCATACCTTTCAAAGTCTTAAGCTTTTCTTTCCTCAGCCATGCTCTTTGAAACCCCATTCATTTGACTGCTATAAGCATCCCAACAACCATCACAGCCAAACAATCAAACTGCCATAGCCATAGCCTCAAACAATAAATTCTCAACACCCAAACTCAAGTATATCAAACACCAACCCAAGCACAAGCATTCTCATTTGCTAAACTTGTGGGTCTTTAGCTCCCACACTCCAAGCTCTCATGCCAAGCTCATATAATCACATATCAACATCAACAAGTCATCTTCAACTTAGCCAGAGCAAGCAACATCCTTACTCATTGCTGGAAGCTTCAATCTCAAGCCGTGTTCTTCCATATTCTTCCTCTCCCTCCCATAAACATATCCAGAGAGAGCAAGCATCACCACTCACCTCTGGAACCCTTCGATTTCAAGCTCTGTTATTCCATTTCTTCCCTTTTTTATCTTTTGGCAAGCCACCCAAAAGCCTAACAAAGCTTTCGTCAAGCTGCTAGAAATCTACTCAAGCCACCCATCTCTTATCTCTCTCTCTCTCTCTCTCTCTCTCTCTCTCTCTCTCTCTCTCTCTCTCTCTCAAAAAAGCTTCATCCCGTATCTGAAACACTTAACCTCTCATGCCTAGTCTAGTAGTGTCTCAATTCACAAAGCAAACTCTCATGCCAAGTCTGTATGCGCCATCTTCAACTCTTCGTCAAGCTGCCGGAAACATCAGTACAAAATATGCAACCGCTAAAAGAAGAACAGAGTACTCCCCTAGGACTTGCTTCTCCCTCGGGATGCTTTGAGCCTAGTTCTCGCTAACTTAGACAAAGGGGCAACAAAGGCTTCATTCATCACTCTGTGGCGATCCAAGAATCAACAAGCCCGGACGAGCCTTCGAACGAAAAAGACCCCAACAGTTATATTGGGCTTTAAATGTCTTTGGGCTTCTCGTGACTTTTTTGGGCCTCAACAGCTCCAAGATCGGGGAATGGCAGGCATTAAGGTAACCATGGATGGAGGTACCGTCATAGGTGGTAGTGGTGGCATGTGGTCCTTGTTATGGCAAGGTGAAGGTAGTGAAGCCGTGAGGCTGTGCAACTGCAGCAACAGCTGTGTGGTGTGGCTATTGTTGTGCTGCAACTGCAGGACAGTGCGGCAGAGCAGCGACGACTGCTGGATGCGGCTAGGTAGTGACAGTTGCTAAATGCAGCTCGGCAGGGGCTGTTCTGCGATTCTAACAGCTATTTGCAGTAGTTGTTTGCTTCGTTTGCAAGGATCCAAGAGGTGGCTGCAAGGTGCTGGGAGCTATAGGGAGTTTCTAGAACATGCGGCGTTGGCAGCCACGGGAGGCTACTGCAAAGTGCTTGCAGATGCAGTTTCAAGCAGTTGCAGTGAGGTTTCCACCATGAAACCATGAGACGAGCCTGTCATGGTGGTGTTACTCTTCGTACATCTTATATCAACCATGGTTGATTGAAAAAAATAAAGTGTGGAAAATGGATTTAGAGCACGGTTTGAGTATTATTTCGGGCTCTCAATGAAAGCATAAATTTGTGGGAGCAATTTTCATTTCCAAAAAATATTCGTCTGAAGATTCTATCTTCCTCTACGCTTGTCTTTCTCCCTGCAAAATAATACGGAATAAAAGACCACATCCAGGAGGGTATTGGCTAAACGCCCTCCAATGCCTAAGTTTGGTTGAGTGTTTGTAGGAAAACAAGAGCTAACAAAAGGATAGAGATTTCTCTAGGGTGAGAATCGGGTGGTCGAAGCCGTGTGTGGTGGTCGAAGCCGTGTGTGTGTGAGAGAGAGAGAGAGAGAGAGAGAGAGAGAGAGAGTATGAAGGTTAGGGTTTATGAGAGAGGATTTCTGCAGAGTTTCATATATAAGTTTTGACGTACCTCAACCCTTGTTGTAGCCATGTATTTATAGAAGCCTCGGAGGCTAAGGTTTCGGAAGAATAATTCCACATATGGAAATGAATTATTCTTCCTCAATTTGGAGAGATTGATGTAATTAGGGATTTGATTTAAATCAAATCCCTAATTAAGGCAAGAATCAAATATTTCCCAACTAAATCAAATAATTCCCAATTAGGTCAAATAATTCCCAAATTGATTGGCTTAATTATTTGACCTAGGATCCGTAGATATTTTGCTTCCACGTGAATGATCTAAGTATAATACTCACATATGCATACACATGACGCCTAGTCTTCTCATGCTTATCTCTCACATGCTTTTTTGCAATTCAAAGAAATAGTTTTCTAATTTTGTTTTAAAAGAAATATGACAATACTCGCTTTTTTCTAATTATTTTTTCAATGAAATTGTATAGCTAGCTAGCCATACTCGGTTTTTTTTCCAACTTTTTGAAAAATAGTATTGCAGCACGGCTTTACTCCGATCTTTTATTTTATCTTTTGTAATAAATAGTATTGCCGCACGACAATACTCTTTTTTAAAATAAATAGTTTAGCCGCGCGTCCATACTCAGTTTTTCAAATTCTTTTCAAAGAAATAGTATAGCCGAGCAGCTATACTCGATTTCTTACTGTTTTTTAAAAATTCGTATAGACACTCGCGGCTTTACTCGACTCTTTTATTTTAATTTTTTATAAATAGTCGTGCGGCTATACTCATTTTTTAAATTTTTTTAAAGAAATAGTATAGCCGCACGGCTATACTCAATTTTCCCAATTTGTTGCTATACTCTGTTTTGTCATTTTTTTTAAGAACTATACTCTATTTTTTCTAAATTTTTTTTTTCAAAAAAAATGGTATAGCCAATCATCTATACTCTGTTTTTCAATTTTTTTTTAAAAAGAAATGGGAAATTGGCGGCTTTGCCCCCGGCGCAACTAATTTATTCAATAATATCCCCATTTTGAAAACTAATCACAAATACCCCCTATAAAAACTCCCTATTGACAGTCTATTGCCCATCTATCACCTTTTTTTTTCCTTCTCAATCGTTGCTCTTCCTCTTCCTCTTCTCCCTAGTCTCTTTCTCTTCCTCTTCTTCAAACCTCACAGAAAATCCACCTCCACGAATCTCACCTAACTCCATATCCTCTTAGTTATATCTTCCATCTCCTATCTTTTCTTTTCTTCTCTCTCTCGCTCCCACCCATGATGACAACAACTATCACCTCCTTAGAAACCCTAACCCATCCCTCTCTCTTGCGGCCGCCCTTCTCCACCTCCATCTCTCACTCTCTGTCACCTCTTTGGACTGCTGTTCTTCCCCTCTGATTCAACAAATTTCTCAATTTTTCTCAGCTTTCCTCAAATCCATGGCATCTCAGGTACTCAACTTTTCTGCTTTACTTTCATACCCATATGTTACTTGGGTTTTCTTTGCTTGTTTCAATTTCATATATGGGTTGAAATTTTTGGTGCTTAATGTCACTTCAAGTCCCTCCAAGTCAAATTTAAGTGAGATTGTACAGAAATTTGTTGAAACATAATTGTGGGTTTAATTTAAAATTTTATCTCTCTTTTTTTTTTAATTAATATTTTTTTAGCTTGTGTAGAGAATGTTATTTAAGTAGGATTATACAAAAACTTGTTGAACCAAAATTTTAAGATTGTGCAACAAATATTTCTCTGTTTGTTGTAAGGAATATTATGCTTGAAGCTTGAAGCTTGTCCATGCTACAATGATTTTGAAGTTTTTCTTTGGCTGATTGAATTTTATTACTGGATTAGGTTTTTATTTTGACAAAAAATCAATTGAAGAAACACAATTATTTGGTTCAATGGTCTCTTGGTTTTATAGGAATTGTGTGATCTAATATAAATGAACATTCAGGCCACTTGAAAGTGTTCTACATCTTCAAGAATCTATTATGATCTGATTTTTTTTTGTTATGTTTTGGGATGTGATTTTTGAATGAACTACATAAATTGATATAATGAACTACCAAGTGAGCTCGCTGCATCCATAATATTGAATCAATAATGGCGAGCTTAAGAAGAAGCAAACGCTTGATATCCAGTAAGATAATAATCGAAGTTAAATGGTGCAAAGTTAGATTGTGCTTGATGTTCACCACTTACTTTAGTTAACTCATGTACAATGTAGAACACTTTTTTCAAAGTTAGATTGTGCTTGTAGAGGAATTGGATAATGGGTTCACCAATTGCAAGACTGCTTTGTTCATTGCATAGTCCACTCTGGAATTGTTCTAAAATTCTTATAACCTTTCTTGTTTCTCTTTCTAAAATTATGTTTCATTGTTGTAGGTTGTTGACGGCAGATGCCATAAACCATATAAGTTATAAGGTGAGAAAAAATAGTTCTTTGATGACCGGGAAGAGTGTACAGAGGCATTGTAGTATGACAGCCATCATCATTTAGTGTTTTAGATTTAGGCTTACCTATGAGTTATTGCTAGACTTATTGACTTAACCTTTGGTTGTTGTTGGTGTTGGTGCTTCATGAGTTTGCTATCTTTTTAAGAAGGCCATGAAAAATGCACCTTGCATGTTTGTTGATGAAATTGTTGTTGCACAACAAAGAGGACCTGGAATTTTTTTGTTTCACCATCTCTTTTGTTTTTTTTTTTTTTTTTTTTTTTTTTTACGATTGGACCTAGATATTTTGCTTTTGGAAAAAAATACTTTTATTTATATTGTACATTGAAGAGAGAACATTATATACATTGTGTTTTGCCCAGCATTTCCCGCATAAGATGGACTATTTTAGTTTTTGTATTGTTACTACATAGCCTCATATTGCCTTAGTATTGCTACTATATAACCTCCTATTGTGTTCTTATTGCCACTGATTAATTGGTTTTTGCTATTTTTTGCATTAATTTGTTTGAGAGTCCTCCTATTTGCACAATACATAGGCAATACAAGCAATATATGGGGGCAATACCTATGCAATATAAGCCATATACATAGGCAATATAAAGGCATTACAAGCCACAAGAGTTTATATTAATTTTTTTCTCAAAAAATGACACAATCTATAAATTGGCAATAAACATACAATGCAATGACAATAAAAGGCAATAAATGGTTAGACAAACAATAAACAAGCAATATACAGACAATATACACGCAATATACATGCAATATACACCAAATGTATATAACATGTTTTTTTTTAAAAAGGATATGACGTCCTTGATGAAATCACATTCTTACACCCATAATTTCCCAATTTCCCTACTATGGAAGCAATACAGTAGTAATACACGAGCAATAATACAGTAGCAGTACACAAACTTCATACTCCCCTTATAAATTTATTACAACAGACTTGAAAAAAAGAAAAAAAAGAAGAGGATATACGAGGGCAATACACAAGCTATAAAGGGCTATACATGTGCAATACATATCTATCATGGCATTTGCCAATTAAATCACTGATTTGGTTAAATTTGTATTTTTCTCTTCTTTGTCAAGGGAAACGATAAAACCATGGAAATTAGAGATTGACAAATTTCCTTCTAACTTGACTTTCATAAATTGATGAACTAACAATGTTATCTCATTACATCTTAAGATATACATAAGAAAGTGGCAAAAAAAACAAAAAATTTACACCTCCTCTTGGTCGGAAATTTTAACACAATTTATATCTATCAGCAAAATTCTAGGACATGTCCTCTTAGACCCTAATTTAAGATTAAAGTTAGCAATTTCCTCCCCAAAAGAACGCCGCCACTTGAAACAAAACAATCTTCCATCTGTATAAAACAGATAAAAAAATGCATATTAGAAGTAAATCATTCGATCACAATGGAAACAAAAATATAACATTTAATCACAATTGAATTTCAAAACAGAAACCAATACCAAAATTCATACGGATTGTGGCTTTTCTAAATGACCCAATTCTTCATATGGCAAGCTTTCACAAGACAGTACCATTGCAAAATTAAAGTTCACATTCATGCAAACAATTTCATACTACTTAGTTGCAATATAAAAGTAATTAAAAACATGGGTGAAGTGAATGTGTATCCTGGCAGGCGAGTAAAAATACAAATCAGAAAATCCGGAAATCATCAATAGTGCATTTCACATTGTTCAAACAGTTAAAGAAGCACAGTCTCAGTGAAGAAGAACAGCAAGACAATAGAACTAGATAAATGCAAGAGCTATCAACAAACCTTCAAGGTTTTCAAGAACCCTTTTTACACCACCAACACAACCTTGGCATGATACCAACCTTGAGGATTGTAGACCACACCAAAAACAGATCCAAGATTGAATTACGAAAAAAATAGAGAAAACAAAGATCCAACACATGCCAACTTTACACTATCAAACGTACGTTAAAATATTGGCATTCTCATAAAACCCCACAAACTCTCCAATCACTTTCAAAAGAAGTAAAGGATGAGAATCTTGCATTTGTTGGTGGTGCTACTGGTTTCAAATTATGATGTTGATTTCTTACGGTTAAAACCCACATTACTGTTATTTCAAAGAGCATCTATGAGTTTTATATGTATTCTTACAGGTTGCTTAGAAAAGCCAAAAGTCATAATTTGATATATCACCTAAGTGCTTTCATAGACAAATCACAATCACAAAAGAGTGAATACACCACTTTCAAGGAGGTCTACAAGTCCAAGTCTCAATCACAAACCAGTATATGCATGATTTTAGAGACAAATCATAAGTACAAACAATGTATCCAAGTCCAAGAGCTTGACAACCACAGTAAATAGTTGGTAAATTTAATTCAATCACAGAAACAGTAAACAAACCACAACATAAACCCATTAATGTCTCATTCAAAATAATGAAAGTAATCACCCAATAATCTCAAAAAACAAAAACCCAAAAAAAAAAAAAAAAAAAAAAAAAACCAATATTACAACTCACCACAGTGAAGATCGAAGATGAAGGTGTTGTGGGTTTGTGGTGGAAGTCAACGACGAAGGTCGAGAGTCACGATTATGGCTTCATTATGGAGGCTGACGACGGAGGAGGTGAGTCACACCTTGGCTAGGGTTCGATTCCGAATTTGGGGTACAACCTTAACGTTCAAATTAGCTCCTAGTTTGAAGATATAACTAAGAGAATATTGAATTAAGCAAGATTCTACGGTGGAGGTGGATTCCTGTGAGATTTGGCAGAAGGAAGAAGAGGAAGAGACTAGATAGAAGAGGAAGAAGAAGAGCAACGACTGAGAAGAAAAAAAAAGTGACAAATGGGCAATAGACTGTCAATAGGGAGTTTTTATAGGGGGTATTTGTGATTAGATTTCAAAATGGGGATATTATTGAATAAATTAGTTGTGTCGGGGGCAAAGCCGCCAATTTCCCAAAATAAATCGTATAGCCGCTTGGCTATACGCAGTTTTTTTCTTTTTTTAAAAAAAAATTGTATAGCCGCGCGGCTATACCCGGTTTTCCTTTTTTTTTAAATAAATAGTATAGCCGCTCGGCTATACTCGGTTTTCCCAATTTGTTTAAAGAAATATTATAGCCACACGGACTATACTGTTTTTCCAATTTTGGTTTAGGGTTTAGGGCTACGGCTATTATTTTTTTTTTTTTTTTTTTTTTTTTTTTTTTTTTTTTAAGATAGTACAGCCGCTCGGTTATACTCTATTTAATTACGTGTCACCTCTTCAATTGTAACTTCTTGCCTCTCCTACAGAAATGCCAATATCAAGTTTAAATCATTGTAATCAGAAGATCCTAAAAAACAAATAATTTCAAAGGCTCACCTCTTTCTTAATCTTCCCGCCTGGAAGACCCTTGACTTCTTCTTGCTTAGGTACTGAAGTGCTGCCACCACCAACCCCTAGAGAGAGAGATAGGGTGGGGGTAATGAAATACAAACATACACTGCTATATATATCTATACACATATTTATAGCACTACCTGAAGAGGCAGCTCCATCTCCGCCAGAAGATATACCAGTAGACTACAACCGGTTAGCTACTTTATTAGCTTCCTTCACATTAGCCTATGCATAGACATGACGCCCAGTCTTCTCATGCTTATCTCTCACATGCTTGTTTGAAAATCTCATGCCACAACCCAAAAAGCTACAGACAAAAAGTTTATGTTCAAGGTGTACTGCCTTGACATGTTGATGGAGATTTGATTTCTGCAAACGTATAAGCTGTTAGATTTTGGAGAGAGAGAGAGAGAGAGAGAGAGAGAGAGAGAGAGAGAGAGAGAGAGAGAGAGAGAGAGAGAGAGAGAGAGAGCTTGAGGAAGGAGCAAAAATGAATTCTGTTACATTTCTCACGCACTCACTGTGCATTCATAACCATTAGGAACAGGATAATCCCAAATTACATCATCTAAATCTAGCCATCTATTCTTCTATTCTAAGATTACATCTTAGCTGTCCACTTAGACTGTGATCCAAGGGCTCACATTTAAAACTGTAAACTAATTACAAACTAATATCAGCTAAATCACTTATACTTCAACACTCCCTTCTAAGTGTTTAGCTGAGATTACTCCAAGCTTTCTCCTCAAGTATTCAAAACGATCCTTGGCCAAAGCCTTGGTAAAAATATCTGCAGTTTGCTCCTCAATCTTGCAGTATAATATATCAATCTCCCCATTTTTCAAAGCATCATGAATGAAATGAAATCTCCTGTTTATGTGCCTTGTCTTGTGATGATGCACATGATTCTTGGTTATGGCTATAGCTGAAGTATTGTCACATAGAATTTCAATAGCACCAATCTGTTCTTCACCAAAATCTGTGAGAACAAATCTCAACCAGATTGCCTGTGCAGTGGCTTCTGCTGCACTAACATATTCAGCTTCTGCAGTGGATAGTGCAACACTGCTCTACTTGATGGATGCCCAAGAAAATACACCTGATCCAAGACTAAATGCATATCCAAATGTGCTTTTCATGTCATCCTCACTCCCTGACCAATCACTATCATAGTAGCCAATAAGCATTGCTTCTTTCCCTTTCTCATATGCTATGCCATAATCAAGTGTGCCTTGGATGTACCTAAGTACTCTCTTGGAAGTTCCCATATGTTTTCTAGTAGGACCATGCATAAATCTAGCCAAATGACTTGTTGTAAACATGATATCTGGTCTTGTTGCAGTCAAGTACAGCAGACTTCCAACTATCTACCTATACACACTTTCATTAGCTTGTTCACTCCCATCCACCTTAGATAATTTTTCATTCACTGCAAGAGGAGTAGCAACTGATTTGCAATCTTTGAACCCAAACTTGTCCAACAATGTCCTTGCATATTTCTTCTGATGCGGGAAGATGCAGGACTCTGTTTGTATCACATCTAAACCCAAGAAATGATGCAATAACCCAAGGTCAGTCATCTCATATTGTTTCATCATTTCAGTTTTGAACTCCATCATCAATTCTCTTGAGCTTCTAGTGTAAATAATGTCATCCACATATAGAGAAACAATGAGTATTCCACTGTCTACAATCTTCACATACAATGTTGTCTCACTAGGACTTCTTTGAAAGCCACCCTTTGTGAAGTAGGAGTTGATTTCTTCATACCAAGCTCTTGGAGCTTGCTTAAGGCCATATAATGCCTTCTTGAGTTTGTAAACTCTATCCTCTTTGTTCTTAATCATGAATCCAGGGGGTTGATCCACATACACCTCTTCATGTAATACTACATTCAAAAATGCTGACTTCACATCTAGCTGAAACAACTTCCATCCTTTCTGTGCAGCCAAAGCACTCAATGTCCTGAACAGGTGCAAAGGTCTCATTAAAGTCTATCCCAGGCTTTTGAGAGTAACCCTTTGCAACAAGCCTTGCTTTATTTTCCTGAACAGAGCCATCGAGGTTCAGCTTGGTTTTATAGACCCATTTGACATCGATTACTGGCTTATCAGCTGGTCTATTAACCAACTCCCATGTGTTGTTCTTTTCTATCATTGCAATCTCATTCTCCATAGCTTTCTGCCATGACTCATCTTTGACAGCTTCTTCAAAAGTTTCAGGTTCAATGATGCACAGATTGCATCTTTCATATATTTCTACAATACTTTTATATCTCAGAGGAGTGTGATCAATCTCTTGTGGTCCTGGACCAATTTCAACATGTTCTTCTTTTGGAATCTCTGCTTGAGTCAGGCTAGCTTCACCAGTTTCCTATTCTTTCTCAATAAGCATATCAGTGATTGGAACTGAAACACTACATTCCTTTTATGTATTCCAATCCCAGCTTGCTTCCTTATTGAATACCACATCTTTGGAAATAACCACTCTTCCAAACGCAGTGTTATAAAGCCTGTAGCCTTTTTCACAGCTCCCATACCTTAGAACCACACATCTTGTGCTAGCCAGATCAAGCTTTTGTCTCTGTTGATTTGGGACATGTGCATAGCACAAGGAACCAAACACCCTTAAGTGTTTAATTCCTGGCTTTCTGCCACTATAGGCTTCAAATGGAGTCTTCTTGTCCAAAGCCTTAGTTGGACACCAATTTAGGACATATACTATAGTGTTGACAGCTTTAGCCCAAAACTCTAATGGCATCTTCTTCTCAAACATCATACACTTAGCCATTTCCTCTATAGTCCTATTCTTTCTTTCAGCCACTCTGTTCTGCTGTGATGAATATGCCATAGTGAGTTAACTTTCCATCCCCATTTCCTCACAGAATTTGTTGAATTCAATGGATGTATACTCTCCTCCCCTGTCACTTCTCAATTTCCTCAACTTATATCCACTTTGCAATTCAACAATGGCCTTCAATCTCTTAAACACATTGAATACTTCATACTTGTATCTCAAAAAGTAAATCCAGCACATCCGAGTACAGCCATCTATAAAGGTAATAAAGTACCTATTACCTGCCTTTGTGACAGTCTGCATTGGACCACAGATATCACTATGTATAAGTTCTAGAGGAGTGGATGATCTAGTAGTAGCTGCCCTTGGAAATGTCTCCCTGCATTGTTTACCTAGAACACAACCCTCACATACTTCTTTAACTGCTTTGATTTTTGGTAAACCTACCACCATTTCTTGTTCCTGCAACAGCTTCAAACTGCTCATGTCCAAATATCCCAACCTCCTATGCCACATAGTTGTAGAGTGACACACACTTACCTTGTAGGCAGTATGTATTCCAGACTGCAATCTCATTGGAAAGCTTCGATTTCCTCTCATTTGTACCTTTGCAACCATGTTGGAGTATGAACTGTCATCATAAATTTCCACCTTGTGATCTCCAAACACCAAGTAGTAACCATGCTCCATCATTTGACCCACACTGAGTAAGTTTTCCTTCAGTCGAGGCACCATCATAACCTCCTTGATGTATCTCTTCCTATTTTGGTTTCAACCACCAGATTTCCTTTCCCATTCACTTCAACAAGCTGTCCGGTACCCATTTCAACCTTTTCAGTCACATTCTTGTCAATACCAACAAGTAGATCCTCCTTACCTGTCATATGGTTACTACGTCCACTATCTATATACCATACATCCTCATATCCTTTTACACTAGTATTGGAGTTGTTACTAGCATAAAACATGGTTGGGTTAGATTCTGCCTAAGTGGCATACTTGAGTTGTTGCACTGGTTTCTCAAATTTTTCTGGTTTCTTACTATAGCAGTCCCTTGCAAGATGACCAAACTTGTCATAGTTGTAGCATTTTGGCTTGCCCTTAAATCGACACTCACCAAAATGCAATTTGCCACAGTGCTTGCAGGTATTTCTAGGACTATCAGTGGATTTGTTATCCCATTTGTTACCTTTTGCCTTCCAATTCTTCTAATCCTTAGCACTTTGACTTCCAGTGGGCTTATCTGATTTGGGATTCACACTTAGACTAGCAAATGCTCTCTCAATTTTGTTTCAGAATGCCTATTTAGCCTTAACTCAAAACTCTTCAAAGAGGCTACCACTTCTTGTACCTCAATCACATCCAAATCCTTCGAGTGTTCAATAACAGAGCAAATAGAATCATAGGCTGATGGCAGACTAATTAACACCTTTTGAACAACTCATTGTCTAGATAATTCCTCTCCATAGCTCCTCATTTGATTTATTATATCAAATAATCTTGTAAGATAAACAGATAGAGATTCATCATCTCTCATTCTTGTATATTCAAACTCCCTACGAAGACCTTGTAATTTAACACTTCTGACCTATTTATCACCATGGAATTCTTGCATCAAGATATCCCAAGCTCCCTTAGAGGTATCTTCATGAGAGATCTAAGGAAAAATCGCATCAGAAACTGCTCCTTGAATCAGACCCAGAGCTTTAGCATCCTTCATGAGCACCTCTGTGAGAGTCATCTTCCCAGCATCGCTTGATTCTTCTTTTTCTTTCTTCTTTGCATCAGTTCCCTTCGAATCTGAGCATTCTACTCCCTTCTCAACAAATTCCCATAACCCATGAGATTTGAAGATGGTTTTCATTCGTATGCTCCAGAATTCATAGTTCTCTCCGTTGAAAATCGGCGTTCTCAGCTCACCTCCTCCAAACCTAGCCATGTTAGACACAGATCTCGCAAGCAATTTCTTCAATCTCGGCTCGTTTCTTTCACATATTCAAACGCCCAGAGTTAAGCGATCGAACTTGGCTCTGAGGCCATGCTAGATTTTGGAGGGGGAGAGAGAGAGAGAGAGAGAGAGAGAGAGAGAGAGGAAGGAGCAAAAATGAATTATGTTACTTTTCTCACGCACTCACTGTGCACTCATAACCGTTGGGAACAGGATATTCCCAAATTACATCATCCAAATCTAGCCATCCATTCTTCTATTCTAAGATTACATCTTAGCTATCCACTTGGACTGTGATCCAAGGGCTCACATTTAAAACTGTAAATTTAAACTAATTACAAACTAATATCACCTAAATCACTTATAGTTCAACATAAGTAAAATCAGAAAAGGAAACAATAAAAAAACTAACAATGGCTATACTCATTTTTCAAATTTTTTTTTTTAAGAAATAGTACATCGCGGTTTTACTCAGCTTTTTTTTTTTCCAACAAATATATATTAAAAAAAATTAAAAAGGACCAAAAACATCCAACAACTGCTTGGCTAACTACAATTCGTTAAACGGATATCATCGATATTCAAGGACCCCAAATTGATTCTGATCTGAGCCAAGCTCCATTGACCAAAAATGTAATTAACCCGTAATTAAACCATCTGCAATTTTCCCCTTATTGAATAGATGGAGAAGTGGAGAGCTTCAAGTTGATCCCTATGATGCATGTTGCAAACATCATATGAAGGACACGATTTTTCAAGCCAAATTGATCTCTTGTCATCATTGATTTCTTGAAACTACATTCTTCTGCCAATTTATAGGAAGGAATCTTGAGCACATTAACGAACCTGATCCTTGTCCACCAAAATAGCCCACACACCTTCGGCAAAATCATTCCGCAAAGATGATCTTAGGCGATGCGATATTCAGTTTTTGTCACACCAGTTAACTGGATGTGGACAAGTACATAATGATTACAAATGTTATTTTCAAAATAGGGGAGCTACTAGAAAACAAAACCTATCAAAGGGAATGCAACCACATGATGAAAGAAACGAAAAGGTAGAAACTCCAGACTCACTGTGGATAGTTGATTGTCATTTTTCCCACATGCAGATGCAACTCTGGAGAAATACTTTTGTGTCAACTCCACCACTGCAACACAACAATGAATCAGCAACACAACCAAACAAACGGCAAACCACAATAATTAACAGTACTCTCCCTATAAATTGTGGCTTTAGCTTCCACTTCCACCACCAACAACTTGGAGAATCAAGCAGAGTTGAATTTCGAAAAGAAAAAAAAACCAAAGAAAAGTGAGGAGCAATGGATGCTACTCTGTTCAGGGCTGTGGTTTTGATGAGCATGCTTGTGCTTGCAATAGCTCAAGCTGATATTAATCCCTCTTATACCAATGCGGTTTGAAATGGCAACACTCTTGGTCAAGTTGATGATGTCTCTGATGCTTCCAATATAAATCATGTGATTCCAAATGGTCATCTTATTCCTTGTGGTTTACGATGTGCAAGGAAATGCATGTTAAGCCCAATATGCATTTGCATATGCATGATTACATGCAACTTAACTCCTTCGGATGTTGTGTATAATTTGTATCTTTTTCATCCCTTTTTTTATATATATAAAAAGAAATGGTATAGCCACGCTTTTGTTTTTTTTTCCTAAATCTTTCAAAAAGAAACAGTATAGCCCATACTATACTTTTTCTAATTGTTTTTTGAAAATAGTATAGCAAAGCGGATTTCCTGTTTCTCATAGGAAATCACAACCCTCTCTCACTTTAATGCTAAACTCATGAATGCTAAGCTCCCATGCCACAAGCTTCTCATGCCAAGCCAAGAATTTATCTATAAGCGACTATTGGTTTCATTGGTGAAGAAGACCAAGGTGTTTCCTAAGGCTCAACTACCTTTTCGAAACACTCTTGGGGTCTGATCCTTGAACTTAGAGTCAAGGGGCAATTTCATACATTTAGCTCTTTACGGCAGCCCAGACCCATTAGTAGTTGCCGGAACGAAAAAGCTCCTACACTTATCATGGTGAGTGGGTTATATAGTGTGTTCTAAAAGTTCTTATTTTGTGATAAATGTGAAAATCATGGATTTATTCTATTTACAAATCTCTCTCTATTTTCAAGTCAAGCATGTCTAATTTGTGTAATATTTCACACTATATATATTATTTGGAGTTTTTGTGAAGTATGTATAATTCATGGAACATGAGAACTTCAATGACGGGGTATCCAAAGGATAAATGTACCAAACGGGGACATAGGGCAGTGAGGCTGATGGGGGTCACGTACTGGGTACAAATTGTGAAGGATAACCGAGATATGAAGTAATGATGTTATATGATTTGGATTGTGTATCTTTTTATTATATTTTTCTAGAGTGTGTAAAATGACATTGCTTGACTGGCATATTACATATCTACTCACTGAGCGGTGGTTTGCTCATCCCTCGCCTATTTTACTTTTCAGATCAATTAGTAGGCAAGACAATGTCGAGACCAGAGAAGTTAGATTAGTTTAGAGTGATAAACTTTTATTTATATCTTGTACACTTGTAAGATTAATATATATATATAATTATTATATATAATGGTAATGTATTTTAACCAATTTTTCAGTCGTTTTATTTAATTCTTTCGATTCACGCACACTGATTCTAGAATATTCTTTATTTCCGGATCAAGACGTGACAAAGCTTGAACATCTTTTAATTTTACAAAGAGAAAAAAAATACTAAAGTAAGAGTTAGTTGATATATACTTCATAAAGTTTGAACTACGATTGATATGGGTTGTGTTTATACATTTAGTAATATGTGTTGGGCTCAGACTTAGTAACCACTTGGACTTAGTAATATTTTATACTTGCAACAATTCTTAAATTCTTCTAAGTGGACCGTGTTTGAAGCGGGCTCGGGCGAAGCAGGATTCACGTTGGGTTGCAGGCCGACTCAATTTATTGGACCTAATTTTTTGATTCCAACACGGCCCATTAATATTCGTGCTCTTACTATGCCCCATTTAAATAAGCTGGGCTCGTACCGTGCTAGACCGGCCGATCCCATTTGACACCTCTAAGAGCACTTCCAGCAGTTTGTCCCTTGCCATGGCAAGGGGGGGACTAGGGCAGCTACTATTCATGTGAATAGTGGCTACCCTTACAAAAAGCAATGTATGTTTCCAGCAATTGCCCTTTGCCATGGCAAATACTTTTTTTTTTCCCAACTTTTTTTACATAAACAATTAAGGGAGTTTCACTAAAACACCCAAAATAGGGGTTGAAATTATAAAAAAACCCAAGCACTATTTAAACATATAAATACACCCAAAACCCATTTATAAACACACCCAAAAAGTTGACTTTGGGGTTGATTTTGGGTGTGTTTCTATGTTTAAATAGTGCTTGGGTTTTTTATAAATACATGTCTAGGATTGGGCTTATTTATAAATTTCTAGATAATATTTTCGGATAAGAATTTTGGGTTCCTACGTGTCAATACTATTCATATCTCATAATCGGATAAAATTTTCGGATAAGATTTTCGATTTCAAATTTCAGATACATTTCAAATTTCAAATTTCAGATACATTTCAAATTTCAAATTTCAGATGAATTTCAAATTTCAAATAAGATTTTCACCCTCTAAAAATTGCGCCACGTGTCATCTCTATATGCCTAAATTTTTTTATAAAACTGGAGGCTCAACTCACACCTCCCACACTAGATCTTCTCTACATTTTCATCTCTCATATTTTAGATCTCATTCTCCATTCTCAAATAGCAGACATGCAAGAGGATTTGGAGAGGCAAGAGCGAGAAACTAGAAAAAGAAGACGTAGACGAGCTGCAAGCAAAAGGGCGCAGAGAGACCTAGATCAGCAACTTGTCATGGTAGTGGCTTTGCTTGATGAAGAAAACCAGAGCCGTCGTGGTTCACAAGAAGGCTGTGGCCTAAATGTGAACAGACATAGACATTCTCAGGGTAAGAATCTTCTGGAATATTATTTTATCCCAACTTCTCTATACTCTAATGTTCATTTTCGAGCGTGATATAGAATGCAACTCCATTTGTTCAATAAAGTCATGCATGATATTTGCAATTATGATGAATACTTTGTTCAAAAGAAAAATGCTGCTAGAAATTTGGGACTTCTTCCAGAACAAAAGTTCACAGTTGTTATACGAATGTTGGCGTATGGGTCATCTGCTGATTAGGTGGATGAGATTGCCTGGATGGGAAAGTCCATTTCTTTGGAGAGCTTGGTAAGATTTTGTGATGCAGTGGAAACTCTGTACACCAGGGACTACCTACGCAAACCTACGCCCAGGGACCTATAACGGCTTCTACAAAAAGCCGAAACTTGAGGATTTCCTGGAATGATTGGTACCATCAACTGCATGCACTGGCAATGGAAGAATTGCCCAACTGCTTGGCATGGGGATTATGGAAATAGGAAAGGGTAGAAAAGTATCATCCTTGAAGCCGTTGCTGGATTCAATACATGGGTTTGGCACGCCTTCTTTGGAGTTGCCGAATCTCAAAATGACTTGAACGTCATGGGTCAATCCCCAGTGTTCAATGATGTTTTGAGAGGTGAAGCCCGAATATCACTTATGAAATCAACAATATCGTCTACCATAATGGGTATTATCTAGCTGACGGCATCTACCCGAGGTGGACCACATTTGTGAAATCAATTCCACATCCTCGATCCCATAAGCAAAAATTATTTGATGCCTATCAAGAAGGTTACATAAAAGATGTGGAGAGGTGCTTTGGTATCATCCAAGCTCGGTGGGCTATTATTAGGGGTACGGCACGTCTGTTTGATGAGAAGGTGCTTAGGAGCATAATGATGACATGCATCATCCTCCATAACATGATTGTGGAGGATGAGTATGATTAAGATGCTGCAGACATGTATGAACCGGATCCTATGAATACGGCCTTAACACGAATTTATGAAAAACCTATGGGGCCAAATGGAGAACCAGTGCAGCATGAACTGTTGGTTTGGGACAGTAGTTTCATGCCCAGTATGATTGATCGATACAAGGAGATGCAATCATCGTATATTCATGAACGACGTCAAGTTGACTTGATGGAGCATTTATAGGCGGTGAAAGGCAATGAAGGTGAATGAAGTGAAGTGGAGATGTTTTTTTAATTTATTATGTTTATGTTGTATTTTTAGTTATGCTTTGTTTTTTTAATGCTTTGGTTGTGGTTTGTTTATTTTTTATGCTTTGGTTGTTGTTTGCTTTTTATGTATGGAATGTTTTGAATAAAAAGGTATTTTATTGAATGTTTTCTTTATTCATTAAAAGAAAATCAATACAACTAATAAAATAAAATACATGAATTACAACTAATTTTTTAAACAAAACATTAAAATACAATGAAATGAAAGGCAAGCAAACTAACTTAATGGTTTTGATCATTTAACCAATCCGTGTTGCTAGGTCCATCGTCAGGAAAAAGTTTTCGTCTCATAATATTCCTTCGTTCTAGCTTCCAAAATTGTTTTATTTCAGGAGACATATGGCTTGTGTCCATGGCCATAGTTTCCCGATCCTTTTTTTCAATGTTTTCTTGGCATACATACTCCCTTTCTTTGCGTATATACTCCCTTTCTTTTTCATATTCTAGTTGAATTGCCCTCTCGTCTTCTTGGGTTTTCATGTCTATTTCAAGTCTCATGGTGTTTTGCCTTGAAATTTCCTCCAAAAATTTAGATGCATTATTGGTAGAATTACTCCCTCTCTTCGCCTTTGCCGCCTTTCTCCCAATAGGCCTCGACTCCTTTTGGATGGGTGAGTCTTGACTCATTAAGGAATCCATAGACGAATCCGATGCCCGTGAATCATGAAGTGGCGTCTCGTTCAACACCACCGTTGGACCCGTTGGAATAATTCGGAATATCTTACAATTCTTCACCGCCTCCCAACATTGGGTATGGTTGAAAGTTTTTTTTTGCCTTGCCTAGTAGCACCATACCCCATTTGTTCTTGCATAATCTATATATATAAAAAAAAACAAAAACAAAAACAAAATGGAAATGCATGAAACTTTAAAAAATATTGGCAATGCAACAAATATATAAATAAAAAAATAACGGAAATGCAAGAAATTTTAACAATTTATTGGAAATGCAAGAAATATTTATAAATAAATATATATATTGCAAGAAAAATTTAAATAAAAATTAATATGACATTAAAATTAATAAAACAAAAATTACAAATAATTTACCTCATTGCTATGATTTTCCCCGCTTCTATGGTTGTCCATCACTTTTGCCAAGGCATCTCTCCATTTCGCCAACTCTTTATTGATAATTTTCCACCTACTAGATAATGTCATTTCCGTACAGGTCGAAATCCCCGATATTTCACAAAATTCGGTTTGAATTTTTCTCCACATATGATAGAATTTCTTCACATTGCCCGTTACGGGACAATGACTAATTTGGACCCAACACTCACACAACAAAACATCTTTCATCATGCTCCATGCCCCTCCAGTTTCACTAGAAGAAACCATAATATGATAGAGAAAAATAAAACTTAAAAGTGAAAATAAATATTGAGTAGAAAATAAATAATAGTGGAAGGAGAAGAAAATGTATGAGAATTTGGTGTTAAAAATGAAGAGCATTGGTTGGTATTTATAGGGAAAAAAAAATTCGGTAATTTTTTGGTATTTTTTAAAAACAATTCGATATTTTTTTATTTTTTTATTGCACAAAAATTGGCTGCTATCATCATGACGTCATCATCAAAACTCAGGCTGGTGCTCGGGCAGCCCAGTTCGCTAGGTCCCACCATCTGCCGGGGCCTCCTTTCATGGGCCAGACTATAATGAGGGGTAAGTTATAAGGGGTAAGTTATAAGGGGTTCACTTTATAGTCATTGGATCAATCGAAGGGCTGGGGAGAATTGGGATAAAGTTGTGCAATCGGGTAGGTGAGGAACCCAAACCCGAATTTAATATCCAGCAATGAAGTTGGTCCCAACAAAAAAAAAAAGAGAGGCAAGTTCGAAGTTTGAACAGAAAAAACCCATTGATCTCAAACTCATAGCTGAGAGAAACTGCTAAGCTCTGAGAAACGGTTGAAGGCAACGGGCAACGACGGTTGAAGGCAACGGGCAACGACGGTTGAAGGCAAAGGTTAACGACGGTTGAACGCAACTCCACTATCTAAACCGTGAAAAAGTATTTATTTTGAGTGGAAGGAGCAAAGGCGTGGATTCTGAAACAGTGAAGACGAAGCAGTGGAAGGGGAAGGAGAGAAGCCGTATTCGTTGGAAGTGATAGGTTCCATTTGTGGAGCAAAGCCACACAAAGACCCAACACAGACACCTTGCGATTGTTCAATAACCAGCATTTGGTGAGTAATTTATGGAATTTGAGTTTAGGGTTAGAGTAACCGTTTTCCCCCAATTTGTAGCATGAATGTTGTTAGATTTGGCATCTCTTCTTTGTGCTTCACTTGCATGTTAATTTTTGCTTGGGTATATGTTAAAAAACGAATGAATATAAAGTCAATAACATGTCAATAATGATATGAATAAGGTAATGGTGTTGAATTGGAGGAGGCCCTCAAAACCTTCCACATTTGAAGCAGTGCAGAGTGCAGATTATCTCTCTGGAGCTAGAATATATATAATTTTTGAAATAAATATTATTTCCGTTGTTACTAAATTTGCCTGTTAAAAATGAGAACAGATAATAATAAACTCATGAATAAAAGTGCAAAGCATTTGAAAAAAGGTTGATCTATGACGATTATGGCTGACTGAAGAAAAAGCTAGAAAGAAAGAAGGATGTGGCAATGGCTTAGCGAGCAGATAGCAGAGCAGATGCTTTGCTTTGCTTCCTTCCACCATCTTTCTCATTTATTTATTTATTTATTTTGTGTTGTGTATGAAATGACAATAATTGTCATGTGTGTGAAGTGCAGAACTTGCCTAGATTGCACTCACACTCACTCATGCATCAACCATTGATTGGAGTTTGGATCCATAAATAAAACACATGCTAGTGCTTGTAATTCACAGAATCATTGCATTAACAGGTATTTGCACAAAATATGTCATATTGCTTTGATGATGTTAAAGCCTGTGATCAGTAATCCCTATGCGCATGTACTTTGTAAAATTTGTAATGTGCTGGTTGACTAGTTGTGTAAATACCAATGTGATTGTGCAAATACGTGGTAGTATATGTGTTCACGTTATTTCATCTTGTATTTCAGGAAATGGGATCCAACGTTGAGCTGGTATGGCCAGAGTCAGAGGCATATTCCTCACGGGTGAACAACTGCTCACATGCAAATTCATCCCTAGCTGTAATTCGAGCGAAGTTGAGTGCCGAACAATTAGAACAATTCAAGACATCATGCTTTGGCCATCTTCTGAATATAGATAAGATTCAGTTTAGCGGGCAGATTGTGCATGGGGTTGTGTTGCGTAGAGTAGCGGGGCAGGGTGTGAAAGACTTGGATGGACTGAGTTTCTTAATAGGGTGCGACGTTGCTCAGTTCACTCGTCAGGATTTCTGTTTGATCTCAGGGCTTCGTTTTGGGGAAGTGCCTGAAGTTTCCAGTGGAGAAAGTGATGAAATTAGACTTCAGAAAAGATATTTTATAGACGAAGGAATTACATGTAATGCTTTAGAAGAAGCATTTGTGAGGTGCACAGAGGAAGATGACGTCTACAAGCTAGCTCTTGTTTACTTTGCTGAGTTAGTGGTTTTGGGAAGGGACAAACATTTGAACATCAATCTAAATTACCTGACCCTTGTAGAGGACTTGGATGCGTTCAACAGGTTTCCATGGGGTTCGGTGTCGTTTGACAAAACCCAAGACAGTCTGTTTTCTGCACCAACAAAGTATGTGAAAAGCTTTGAAAATGAAGAGGGAAGAGGGAAGGGGAAATGTAAGGTAACCGGAACAAGCCGGAGAAATGAGAAGGGCAAGAAGGATAACCATGGTGAAGTGCAAAGGGGTGGCTGGAGTTTTAAAGGTTTCACGTATGCTTTCCAGGTACATGGTAATAATGTTCATGTCGTTATGTTCTGTTGACTTTAAAACTTAAATAATAACTTGTGTCCTGTGAATTGTGTAGATTTGGGTATATGAATTAATTCCTAGAATGGTGGACCTGAATTACTGCAAGGTTGTTGATCCGACAGCTCTCCCGCGTATTTTGCGATGGAGAACTACTACGTCTGTTCCCGAGATGAGAAAGTTGAACAATTATTTTTTCCAGAGCAAAGAGGTTTGGTTTGCAGCCCTTGGAACTATTTATAAGATTCAATGAAATTATGAAGTAGAATGATTGCATATGACTCTTGTCTGTTTTCTGAAACAGTCAGTTCAGTTGCGGGCGCTATGTCCAAGTGAAGAGGAAATGAGACAACCATATTGGAGTTGGCCACAGGGTCGCCCTGCTGTTGTCTCGGCAGAGTCAATTCCTTCTTCATGTGCTGACCTTGATGAGTTGAACAAGGCGGTAAGCTTGTTGAGGTCCGAGTTGTTTCAAGTAAAGCGGGAAAAGGACGTCCTTGAGTTAAAGGTCATACGGATGGAAAAAATTTGGGCCACTGTTTAGGTCCTCATTTTGAGCAGGAAGTGAGAAGGGACATAGCTTTACTGAAAGAGAGGACGAATCGTTGTGTCGTGTCACATCTATTTAAGGGATATGAGGAAGTGGATGGCATGCAATGGGATGAAGGGCCAAGTAATAGAAATGAAGGAGAGGCAAATGAAGAGGAGGACATTGAAGGGGGTGAAGGGCCAAATAACAGAAATGAGGGAGAGGACAAGGAAGAGGAGGGGATTGAAAGGGGTGAAGGGGCAAGTAAGACAAATGAGGGAGAGGAAAAGGAAGAGGAGGGGATTGAAGGGGGTGAAGTGCCAAGTAAGAGAAATGAGGGAGAGGAAAAGGAAGAGAAGGGGATTGAAGGAGGCCAAGTGCAAAGAAAACCAAGGGAGGTAGAGGAAGCTCAAAGGAAAAGAAGTGAGGGAGAGCAAGTGAAAATAAAAAGCAGCAAAGGAGAGGAAGCGCAAAGAAAGAGCATTGAGGGAGAGGAAGAACTGCAAAGAAAAAGCAGTGAGGGAGAGGATCCGAAAAAAAAAAAAGAAGGGCAAGGAAGTGAAAAGACAGAGAAGTGAGGAAAAGGAAGTGCAAAGAAACCAATGTGAGGAAGAGGATGATGAAGTTATGTTGGTTGGCGATGACATTGGCGAGAGCACGGAGGGGACAAAGGTTGAGGTTACTGTCGGGGACATTGATTTGGATCAACCTAGAGCTGTGTTATCTCAGTTGAACGTTTGGTTGAATGATGAAGGTCAAGGTGTGGAACGAGGGGTCCAATTACGGAAGAGGAAGAGGATTATTCCTATGTGGAAGATCGTTGAAGCTAGTGAAGTGGTTAAAAAAAATTTGCCAAAGACAACCGGACTTCGGACGTTAGACCCAATGAAGGCGATTCCGCATGATGATATGGTGAAATTGCTGAAACTTTGTTCGGAATGGCGCCATAACCCAAAGTAAGTCCTTTGTTTTTTGAGATAGAAGGCATGAGTGTATATATTTTGTAATTGTTGTGTTCTAAAACTTTTTTATATTCATAGTTTGGTGATGCAATTTGGCAACGTGGAAGCTGAGATTGAATTCTTCGCTTCCCTCGTCAAAGCTGACGGCTGGCTGAAAGGAGATGTAAGTTTAATTGATTATGCATTTGTTTGAATGTGCATAGATAATGAGATTGACAAGGAAAACATGTGCAGCACATTGATTTGGGCTTGTATCTCATCCGGAAGCGACAACAACAGTTGGAGGAAGTAGAAATATCGGATTGGACAACGACCGATGTATTTTTTATGGTATGTGATGCAGGATGCATAGGACCTAAATTGTTTAGTTTCCTAATTTGATTGGTTAGTTTTCCTATATTCTTTAGTTTTCCAAATCCTAGTAGGATTTCTAAGTTAGTTTTCCAAATCCTATTAGGATTTCTAAGTTTCCTATTTTATTAGGAATAGGATTTCTGTTTTACCTGGGGATTTTAATTCTATTCTCTCTAGGTTTTAGTTTGCTATAAATACCCCTGTGTAGTTCTTTACAATTCAGATTTGAATATTGATTAAACATTCCTTTAAACTCTCTGATTTCTGCCTGCCTTCTACCTTTTCTTCCCTTCAGCTTTTCTTATCTGTTATGTCTTATTGCTCTAAGTGTTTAAACTAACACACCCAGGGCTGTGCTACATCAGTATGGCATAGGCCTTGACCAAGTGCAGTTAATAATTACAAATTATCCATACTTGCTTTGTGGAGTTGTTTAACCATTGATTGTTTTCTATTTCACAGAATCACATCCATACTTGCTTTGCGGATAATAAAAGGAAAAAAGAGCAAGTTGGGTGGAAAATTAGAACCAGTTTAGTGAACGTTGTAAATGGCAAGGTTCCGGCTTGTGGATTGGATTGGCAGAACACGTATAAGGTGTATGTACCTTGTATGTTGCAAAAATATAAGCATTGGGTGGCTCTAGAGATTGATCTGATTCAGTGTGAAATCAAAGTCTACGATTCAATGGTTTCACTCATTCCAGATCAGAGCTTAAAGGAAGAACTCGGCCCCCTGTCAATTACGATTCCAAATCTTCTGCACACCCTCGACTTTTATGAAGAAGGTGTTTACGCGAACGAGTGCACCCGAGATTGGTGGTGTCCATGGCCAATACATCGTGTGGATGTTCCACAACAGGCTAATCAGTGAGCACAACTTTTTATTTAATTTTATTACTTTAATTTGTCAATTATGTTAGAATGTCATTAGTTGAATTGATCGAGTTCTTGTTTTGCTTCAGAGGCGATTGTGGTATGTTCGTGTTGAAGTACATTGAGCTGTTGAGTGCTGAGATTTCCTTAGCTACTTGCACCTCGCAGAACATGCCATTTTTTCGGTTGAAGTTGGCTGCAGAAATTGCACGGGGAGATGCTTACATGCCATGATATCGGTTGAACTTGGTTTAGGCACATGATGATGAAATAGGTTTTGGGAATGTCAAATTTCAAAGTCATGTAAATACACAATAGAGACCCATGGGTCCTTTTCGAATTCCACCTCTGCTCCTGAATTCTTCTTCGTCTTTCTCAATCTTAGTGTATTTGTGTACAGAAATTTAGATTTAAGTTACTGGACAATAACAATTAGAACCAAAATAGTGGCAAATATTATAGCGGATGCATGCTTTCATTTTGATTAGTGTGATATTACGCTATGTGTATTCTCATATTGTGCGAAATGTATATGGAGCTGGTTGCAGAGCATAGAAAAATGAAGACTCTGAAATGGAGATGCTGAGGGTTGGAGAGGAGAAAAGTAACTGGATCTGTAAATCTATTGCACGTGGGCAATCTAAATGGATAGGCAGATGCGTTTTTTGAAGTTAGACACATGCCATTCCCATACATAGAATGTGCATATGGAGTGTAAAGTTTTTTTTGATGTAATGAAACAAACATCGGTGTAATATTGGCCTAACTCCTTCACGACATTTACCTAACCTCAACCAAACTGCATTGAATTGGGATTTGAAGACTGCATATGTGAATTTGGATTTGAAGAATGCATATTCACATACGGACTGATGGCTTTTTAAGTGTATTACATCATTGCAAAGTGATATGTCATCATTTATCCAAGCCACCATTCCAAATATCAGATCCCAATCTTTAAGCCGTTCAACATGCCTTGACTTAATCGCAATGGGTTGCATCTTAAGGTAATTCTGTAAGGGGAATAGGCTGCTATGGCCTCGCCTCCAATATTTTATTCAACCATGCCCTCCTTATAGAAACACATGAAAAATGTCCCCAGGTGCAATGCTCTAAAAACTCCCTATTGGTTCCGCACTGCCCCTCGGGTTTGAATCCCTCTCTCCTTTATAATCGGTTAATAAATTGGTTGATTTTCTTTATTTTATTGGTTTTGGGCAGCTGAGTAACATAACAGTAATGTATATTGGTGCGTCTATATTGCATGTCTGTTGGGTCTATATTGCTTGTCTATTGCGTGCATATCTTTACATTTTATTGCGTCTGTATTGATTTGTATTGCTTACGACGGAAATAAATAACAATACACAGGCAACAGACAAGCAATATACACGCAATAGATATGAAATATACACGCAATAGACATGCAATATACATCAGTCCCCAATTACATCAACCATAAGGAAGTCGTATTGAATAGGAAATTCTACTTAAGTTGTTCTTCCTACGAAAACAAAGAATAAGGACCGTTTCCCCCCTTAAATCTAACTGGAGTCCTACTTTTGCCCCCAATAAACTTGCAATATTGGAGCAATAACATGCGATATACATGCAGTAAACACTCAATCAACTTTCAATAAACCTTCAATATCGGTTCAATAACATGTGAAATACATGCAGTTAACAATCATGAAACCTTCACGAAACATGTAAACAATCAATAAACCTTCAATAAACACTCAATATCGGAGTAATAACATGCGAAATACATGCAGTTAATGAACCTTCAATAAACAGTCAATATCATGCGATTTACATGCAGTAAACAATCAATAAACAATCTATATACACTGAATAATTATGCAATCTTAAAAAAAAGGTATTGTCTTATTATTGCATCGTATTGGCCCTGTATTGTCATTTTATCGTCTTCGTCTGACTTTATTTTTGTAAAGTAACTGTAGGAAAGTTTTTACTGGGTTTCTGACAAGTAAATGCTTTTGTTTCAAACAATAATTTAAACTCAATGCTAATCCACCTATTTCAATAACAAAAATTACAAATTGGGTTTGAAAAGTCATTGGTGGTGCGTGCAACATGTGTTTTTGGGGAGAACTTTTACAATCCTTGAAACCGTGCACTTAATTGGTCATTAAAAGAACAAATAATATGACAATTGATACAACTAATAAAACTAATACCAAGTCCTTAATGGACTTCAGCATATTAAGCACTGTAGCATCATACGTGTCAGCTTGCTGATCTGCTTCAGCGGAGGTTACATCAACCCATTCGAATCCATTGCAACTGGTGGCTCCCTAATTGCAGGCATCATATATGCAAAATAATTCTGTCAGAGTTAGACCTAGGATTTTTTTTCACCCACATACATATTCTGGAAATGAGAACTTACATAGGAGGTTAGACACTTCCAAAATGCCTTCCCGCGATTTTTATCTGATTTTGAAACCCGAAGCACCATTGCCGCTCCACAATACTGACACCTCTTTGTTTGAGCGGGAGATGAAGACGAAGACATGTTGAATCTTATCACTTGTACCTCTTCTCACTCAGATCTTCTCACTAAAACCTCTTCGGACTCATACCTTCTGAGTTATACCCCTTCACTCATAAGTCATAACCCTAAACTTCTCACTCAGCTCTCTCTCATCTCTGCCCAAATCGAATTATATCCTTCTTTTCTGTGTGTGGGTGGGTTGGTCACGATCTGGACACCTGTACCGTCAGAATTGTGACACATTTTACTCCGATAAGCGATATACTATTTCACAAACAATAATTAATCTTACAATTGAGGGGACACTGCTTTAAATATATTATTTTCTTTATATTGCATTAAGGCAACTAGTTGGATAAGAATCCGTCATTTAATAGGGGTAGTGTGGTGTGGGAAAATGAAAAAGTATCTGATGGGACCTTCTGTCACTAGTCAGTAATCCATCACATTTGTATCAATGAATTTAATGGCGGGAAAAGCCTAACAATGGCTATGGAAATAGGTTATTAATTGACTTTTGGACGGTCTGACTCCCTTTGCATTTTGATGACGTTTTCCCTTCGCCTGTCTTATGTTTTGGGTGTTGAGTTCAGTTTCTTTAAAAAGTGTCAACTTGGTAAAACCCCAAGGAAACACCTTTTCAGAACAGTGCAACCAGAGGCTAAAACAAACCCAAACCCCGTATATTCTCATTTCTCCCCTCTTGCAGTCCTCAAATCGTTCCATTCCAAAATATTTCAATGAATTCCAAACATTACACTACAGTCGGAGGAAAGAGAAGGAAGCATCGCGATCCGGATGTGCCTCAAGCCTTCATCCCGGAATTAGCTTGGTTTAAAGTGATGTTATACGTGGCAACCCAACTCATC